GACGTGAAGACGTGTCGAATAAAATGAAAAATAAAGACAATTTTGACTCAGAATATAATTTTGCTTCAGATAAGTGTCATATAACTTTAAAACAAAGGCGTTTGTTACTTTAGTTAAGAAATGAATATATGTTGTACATATTCTTTGGATAACGCTTGTCACTTTTCCGTACTCGGTAAGTCTACGAGTTCCGAGTAGAAACTGACCAACTGCCATATATGGAGTTGTCAGCTAAGCGCTATGGCTCCGTCACTTTCCTGAAACAATAATTCTAAAAACAACCTTGCAGCCTTTTTGCCATCTTTGAAGGCGACCCCACCTTTACTTCCATTTCACCGGTCTTATTTTGGAACGAAGAGGCCTGTGCACGTAAAGAAGACTGTGAATTGAGAAAACCTTTATCAGCAGAGGAGTGGTGAATAAAAGTTAAACTCTGGTTTTTTGTATGGAATAACGATTGGCACCCCGCCCCTCTCGACGGACTACACTGGTGTATTTTCAAGGAACACCAGGAATTCTCCTAAACGAATGGCAATGGATCGACGGTTATAAAGCTTATACCCAAGTGCACTCAAGATATTGTAGATAAACTCGAGGAAGGAAGCTTGTTCTTCTCATCTGAACGATTCCAGGGAAAGCGGCGAAGAAGACGGATTGATGTTTACTTACCGCCTGAATCAGCTTTACCCGCAGTCACTGGGTACCCAGGCTCACTTTCCTAGCCATAGTCAAGTGCAAAAACAATCAATTCTACGCATATCAGCTCCGAAAGAACGTCAAAAAAGGTTCCGGTTTAGAGACACCTGATATGTAAGACTATCTCTGCCTCATATACTCGAACATCTTTGCACCTATCCCTCCTTGCAACGACTGGATCAGATAATCGTCTTCCCAGATGGCTGGTACATACTCGTACGACATCACAGATGGCCACCAAGGGGATTGTGAAGTTGTCGTAGGTAGCGAGATTTGTTATATTTACAAATGGTCGCGAATAAGTTTAACCATAAGGCAGTGTTAAAGACTCACAGTCATTCTCTGGACGTTATAATAATAATAATAATAATAATAATAATAATAATAATAATAATATAATAAGAACAGTAAAAGTTTTTCCATCTAGGATAAGAAATGTTTAACACCGAGATGAAAATGTACCACAGCAAAAAGCGGTCCATTCTTCCTCACACTTAGACGGAAGTCATGAATATCAACTTCAAAGTAAGAGAGGATATAACTAGGTGAGAGTGGGCATTCAACCTAATCTACTGAAACGGTAACTTTTCAGCATCCCACAGTAACTTACACGAAAAGACTACCTGGCCAAACGCGAGATTACAAACTGGGCCTAGTCGCAAACACGTGGTAACTTTATCTCCCCACCTTAAACTCTTAATTGGATGGCCGTGCCTAAGATATCGAAGAACGATTTGTGGGGTGATCTTCACATCGAGGATTACGAAGTAATTTTTCAATTACTATAAGTGCTATAAACGTAGAAATCATCAACACACAACAACTAATTTTGTGTGGCGTCAACACAGGACTACGCCCAATTCTCATCCGACAGTGGTAGCATCGAGATGAATCCGGTTGAACTTGTCCGTTGCATGAATTTGTATCATTGCGTACGATCTCGCTTAAAAGCTGCAACAAACTTCTTATCCGTGTCTATCGACGACGACGTCATACAACATTGCGTCATCATGTAACCTAATTGGACCATCGAGACCAATCACATTGGAGACGTGCGGGCCTGATTCGACATGCTTGAGAGCTAATCCATTCCCACTCTGCACGATGGCTTCAAGTCAGGTTGATCAAAACGTGATTTTCAGTAGTCGTTCGAGCCTCTCCAGCTACCATCATTGTGGCTGATTTCTTCAACATAATTCCACAGATAGTGTTAGGGTGGGGTGTTGTAACGTTTGTACAATTACTATACTGGGAGTGATAGGTACTAATAGCTCGATTCCTGGCTTACTACTTTGTCTCTCTGGACAAATACCGGACAGTGCGCCTTGCTATGGCAACGAACTCTTTCAGTATAACCAACTTTCTATTCTGTCTTCGGCACTTTCGTTCTTGATTTCTGAAAAAGGGGTCACTAAGTTCTCTTTTATAACTCGATGAGCCACATACAACCCAATTAACGCGTGAAATAGAACGCAAACGAAAATGCTTTGTTGGTGTGACGCCTTTCCCTTACTCTTCTCGTTCATCGTTTAGAAGCACATTCCCTAAATCTGTAGGCAAATCTGGTATGAAAGTAATGAAATAGATGTTCTAATTACTTGGATGTGTCTTAAAACCGAAAATTATGGTGTAATCGATGGTGCGTGTGGCGCAGTGGCCTAAGGCTCCCTGCAACACACACTTGGGATCGATCCCCGCGCCCCTGGCCTACCAAGCTATCCATCCCTATGGAGTCGTTCAGAGAAATCGAATGCATAACACACCTCTAAGGGATTGATCAACACCGAAAGCTTTATCTTTTTTTATCCGTTATCTTAAAACCAACCTTCATCAAATTTTGTAACGATAATCAGTAACTTCTTTACAAACCTCGTGTCAACTTAGTCATGCAAGAAAACACCTGGATGTGATCCCAGTTGTTCTTTCAAGTGGAATGACAGAGAGGAGATCGTAGATCGGGTGAGTCGAGTTGCCGCATAGCTAGGCTATATCCGCCGTTCGTTTACGTGGTCCGTTGTGATTAGCATTGCCAATAAACAATCCATTGGAGTTGCATGGTCATTACAGCTACTTTTATGTGTACCATTACTAGAGAAGAGTTGAGGGTTTCTTTCCTCGTTCTACTAATGACATCGTCATTTTTCCCCGTTGGATTCGTCAGTTTGCAGCAGAGTCGAACGATGGCTAAAAAGCCAAGGCGTGTTGAGTGGACAGGACCACGAGGAAACCAATAGGAGTAGATGACTCTTTAGTAGGAGACGAAGTTGTACACGTATGTAAGCCGCTTACTGAAGATGGATTGGGCCTGAATGATTTTAAGGAAGAAATCAAAGCGGCCTTCGGAGCTCTCAAAGCCTCAGAGCAGTGAACAGCCACAAAACTACATGTTCACTTGCTCGACTGGAAAGCTCCAGTGCGTTTGATAAGTGGCTGCAGGTCGGCCAACACCTCAGCTACATCGAAAACTGAACTAACTGGTATGAATACTAGACAAATGGCCGATCTTTGAGATAGAGTGAAATCCGCACCTAAAGCAGATCGTGAACAAACAAAGTGGGGACAGCCAAGAGCATAGGGACGTGAATAGCCGCATAAGAGGTTCAAGTCTTCCCGCTGAAAGACACCTGAGATAAAAAGCGTGTTCGAAGCAAGTTGTACTCTCAGCCACATGGAATTCCTAACAAAACGTGAGTCGCATAGAGCTACTTACTTGATACTTGAACGGCCCGTCCTCATTGGTTGTGCGGGTCGCAGCATAATCATCATTTTTCGGAGATAAGCCATTGTGGTTCCCTGGAATCCCGAGGTCAGCCTGGCCAAAGCCTTCCTTAAGTCGTCACCGCCGCAAGCTGTCGCCGCTATCGTGTATGAGAGGGAGATTTGCCACCATGCGACCAGTTTGATACCAAGACGCTGGTACTGGTTTACTCTAAGCTAGGCTTCCTGATGGAAACGCCGGACTCCTTCTCAGCTTGGGAAACCCTGCCGGTGGAACGACTCACCCCGCCGTACATCGCAGTCCGACACCCAGGAAGACCTCCCAGCCACAATGAGGCGGTAAACCGTTGCGAGGGCTCACAATACACGAATTGGAAATTGATAACTGTAGTTATGAAGAAAGCGAACTCTCTACCAGTAATCGCAGTTACTAGTTTGACTTCTAAGAAGTATTTCTATACACAGAACTGCCATCTATGTTTCTTTCTATACTAATTCAGAGTACCTAGAAGCGGCCAAGTCGGGAGCCATTGATTAATTGTCGTTTGGAGCGCTCCATTCCTACGGCGACAGGGGGTGTCGGCAGAAGAGCGCGATAGTGTTCGAATGGCAGCCGTTCTCCCGTCGCTTATCCCGTTGGAGTTTACCAAAGAAACCTGTCTAAGCCGTGGAATACCTGAAGTAGTGTAGAGGCCGTTCCTGTGCTGCCATGGGAGGGGAAAGTATTCTTCAGTGCGAAGAGGACCACTCTAGCTCTGAATTGACAGTTACGCTGAGTCGATGTGTGATCTCTTTGTTGCATTGTTGCAGCTTGCAAGCGCATTTAAGCTTTCAGTCTGATTCTAAGACAGTTTATTGAGAGGGCATTCGATAGATCGATCAATTTCTCCTGGCAGCTGTAGAATTGATTGATCACACTCCTAAGAAAGCGACGGTGGGAAGTTCTTTGATGGAGAGTTGTGCTGATGTTTAGGAGTGACTAAGGACTCTTTCCGATAATGATTGAATTCCAGGATAACATCTAATGAATACTTTATCCCTTTGTCATTTTGTCTGTCTTTCCAGTGATCTGGTCAAAGGTTGATTTTTCACGTTTTCTAATGACTTTTCTAATTTAATCTTTTCTAATTTTCCTAGTGACTTACAGGGTTACCGATTTCTCCTTCAGTGCGGTCGTTTTCCGTTTAGTTTTCGGTGAGCTGTATTGAAAACCTGCCAGGAAGTTGAACAGTTACTAGTTCGATTTTTCTATGAAATTTTGAGTCCATAAATAGCGCCAGGAATGCGATATGTGAAAATCGATACGTGGTCTAATCTTCGAGAGCGCTATGAATTTGGCGCGCTTTGTCTCCATTTGTCTCAGATTAAGCGGGCTTTCTTTTTCTAAACTTCGAGTACCAGTAGGTGATGTATCGCATTTCCTTGTTCGGAAACCGTGGCCGTAGTGTTCTTATCTTAGTCACCTGTCAACAACCACAACACCATTGAAATCGATTTAGCCCTTCGGTGTCTCATATCTAGTCTGGAATATTTCTTTGCACTCATATTTCCTTATGGCTTTCTTTTAGTCTTGGCATTTGTAGTGAATGTCTGCCGTGATAAACTCGCGACCGTGTTCGACGAGTGCCACGAACAGCATTGGAGAAGATGTCAGACCAAGTAAGTCTTTGCTCTACCTGGTAATGTACTTGCAACGAACGTGTTGATCAATATGTATGAAAACAAATTCCAGACATAGCCGATTTTGAAATTCGTAAAAATCCGCTTTTTCAGCTCTGCTTCACAAAATTGAGGGACACGTAGCTCGTATAAACGATGTGATTCTTCTCTCGAAAGAGGAAGGTGTTTGGACGGCGAGCGACGATCGCTCCGTTAGACTCTACTTAAAGAGGGACACGGAGCAGTTCTGGCCTTCCATTCACAAGATCATGCCCGTTGTGCCCACTTGCCTTCACTACAGCGAGGAAACGTCACGGTACCTGGTATTTCACGATTATATTGGATATATTCGAGTAGTTCACTTCCCTCACTATTTGTAAGCGTTAGCCATCTTTCAGATTGTTCGTTGGTCTTCTGAATGGTAATGTATACGAGTATTTTGTTGCTGACGACTATAACTCCATGAGTGAACCGGAAGTTCGAAGGTACTTCTAAGAAAGTCCTTATTTCACTCTAATTTCACTATTGAGATCGTGGTGTCTTCTTGTTCCAACGATCTGTTCTTGATGAGTTGGTACGTACGCTCCATAAGGAAAGCTTTGCTTCATTTGTTTTCCATAAAAAGGGTAAAGCTTTCGGCATTGATCATTCCCTAAGGGATGGTCCATGCATTCGACTTTATTAGGCATCTTTGGTGGTGGCTGAGTGCATATCTGGCCTTTACAATGATTCGCGGTGGCCTGCCGATGTATTGAGCCAGTGCTGCTATCCTCCCAGATAGGGGTTTGGTACCAATTTGCCGACCCTGGGGTATGGAGAACTTGGTGGGCCAGCGGCTAGGGGATCGATCCTATGTGTGTTGCAGGGCGACTTCGGCCACTGGGTCACATGCGTCATTATTTCGTCCTTGTTTTCCGTATAGACAATTATCTCCGTATTATGAGATGTTTGGTCCACTGAGCTTATTTTGATAGTCATTGTTATATTGTAAATGTTATTGTTGTTAGCATCAGTGTCTTTCTACTACTCTATTGAGACCTTTTTCATTGTGAGCCGAATACAAAAGTGCTGGCCTGCATGCCATACGAAAATTATGATACGGTTTCCGTTAAAAAAGTCATATACTCTTACTTTGGGTCAAATTCATGTCGAATACGTTTTCAACAATCTCTTTTCAACAACAACAAACAAAACAATTAAAGGCCTCTGTTTTCAGGTGGACCATACATGCGGGGCCAATTTCTGGCCTAAATGTAGCCCTGAATGCTGAATTGGTGTTTAGCTGTTCGAAGGACAAGTCCGTTGCATGGCACTGTTCTGAGACAGGCATCAGGCGAGGTTGTGTTACTCTCTATTTAATTTTATCTGATTAGATTGATTCTCCATTTCTCTTCAGTTTTCCAGAGCGAGCCAGGGAAAATAAAATTAACCAAGGCTTATCGTACTACGTTTGTGACATTTTGTGCTCAGTTTAAATTTTTAAAGGTGCTTTTCACTGTGATAACAGTTGCACAGCTATGGCTATTGATCTACCATTCGTCTTTATTGGTGACCATGGAGGGAATGTCGATGTGCTTAGGTTAACTGGAGATTCAGCTCAAATAGTCAGCAAACTAAGCGCACACACAGGTGTTCATTCTGCACTGTCAAGTCCCTTTTACTGCGTGGTGTGTTACTGCATGTTGAATGATTCCGTTCTAGGACCAATTTCTGCCTTGGCATGGAATCGAGTGAAAGAGATTCTGTACTCAGGAAGTCATGATAATTTAGTTATAATGTGGGATATCGGTGGGAAACGTGGAGAAGCCTATGAACTCAAGTCAGTTATGGACTATCTCATATGTCATACTCCCACATCTTCTGTATTAATATCCCACGATGGCTGATGTTTCGGTGGATGTCAACGTCTTTCCCTCTGTTAGGCATCTATTATCGCCGAAACGTAAGCCACTGTGAAGCGAACAGCCTCTTGTTGACCATCCATAACTCTAGAATCTGTTAATGTCGTTGCTTCTAGCGGTCATTCTTCAAAAATTACGAGTTTGGTAGTTGCTCCTGGTGCTGCTCGGCTTTTCTCCGCCGATGATACTGGGAAACTTGTCTGTTGGGATATGTCAGCTGACAGGTGTAGCCGTAAATTTTTGACATTTGTAATACTACATATCGTACTCGTGTAGAGTTAAACATATTAAGGTTAGAAACACCAGGATGGAAAAGCGCAGATAACTGTGAAGTGTGCTGTACTCCTTTTTTCTGGAATCTTTCCGCTATGTTGCAACGGAGGGCAAGTGTTTTCGGAAATAATTGTGACTGTTGACTGATTATGATCCTTTCCGAAACATTCAGGTTGTTGGACAGCGACAACATCACTGCCGAACTTGTGGTAAGGCTGTCTGTGGAAGCTGTTGCTCAAATTGGACAGTGTTTCCTCGTATGGGATATGAGTTACCGGTCCGTATATGCAATGTATGTCACAAAAGCATGGAGGATAATCCACAACAATTCGAGTGAGTAGTTCATTTTCTAATAAGGGTACTTACTTGGCTACTAATTCCCACTTTTCGGAGTTTTGCTCGTTTAGCCCTTGTGGTTCCCTGGAGTCCCGAGGTCAGTCTGGCCAAAGTCTGCCCCAGGTCTTCACCACCACGGGCAGTCGTAGCCCTTGTGGATCAGAGGGAGATTTACCACCATGCGACTTCGATACCACGACGGTGGTGGGTCCCGGTATTGATTTACTCTTAGCTAGGTTTCCTGATGAAAACACCGGACTCCTTCTCAGCTTGGGAAACCATGCCAGAGGATGAATCTCCAGCTGTACATCGCAGTCCGATACCCAGTAACACCTCACAGCCACGATAAGGCGGTAAACCCTTGGGAGATATTAGTATTGTGTAGAAGAAAAGTGAAGGCATCCACACCAAAGCTCATATTAGTAGTATTGATTGCGCATTTATTAGAGTACTATAATTTAATATGCAAACTCCCATCTCGAGCTTTATTGGCTAGGTCTGCACGGAAAAGTTCTGAAGCAGTTGATCGGAAATCAGAACGTCCTAATCTCCTCACGTGTCCTCCAAAGAATATTACTTTGTCTGAGCACTGAGTCTCTGATGTGGTTTATGTATCTCATTCAGCCTCACTCCACTTTCGGTTTCGCATGATCTTCGAAGTGGTGTAACAGCGATGTATTTACAAGAGACGAAAGGTAAACTGGTGACGGCTAGCCAAAATAGAGTTATTATGATTTGGGATGTAAGGTGCATGTTGTGAACTTTATCAGGGATTGTCGTCTTTGTGCGGCTCTTTCGACTTAACACATTACTTAATATCATCATATTGTCTTATATCAGTGCATGCTTCTTGTACACTCCCTCAGCTTCTGCTTACAAAGAATCTGTGACCATACGATTACGGTGACTTGTTTTCCTTTCGTTTTGAAAGGCCATATTGTTCGGCAACATATTACTAATTTCACTTTGACAGAATCTATTGAGCAATAAACTATTATTTTTATGCAAACACTACAAAAAAGAGCTAGATCGAAACGATACACTAGGAAGTTCAAGAATGGAGGGGTTAGAGGACAAGTAGTATTGAGTCGACGCTGACCGAAACATCTCGTGAGTTACATCTTGGATTGTTATTCAGTAGAAAACCTTGGAAGTAAAAGTATAGTTTACACTTAGCTTGCGTACATTGAATGAAGAATGACACCCGATTGGAGCATAATTAATACATTATGTACAAGTCAGAAGAATGAGGAAACATTAATGGATCAAGACACTAAGCAATTTAAACATCTAAACCACATTGGTTTAATTACTCAAAAGACCTACTTTCTATAAACTTCGGCATAAATAATCGGTACATTTACTTATATGTTCTTACGAACTGATCTTGTTGAGCTGATACTAGGTTGGTATAGTTGTTGTTGTTGTTAGTCGATAGCTGACGTTTCGGCGACTTCGTCTTCCTCACAGCCGTTCTGTTACGAGTGGGACTTCAGTGACTTCAGTTGGTGACTCCCACTGGTAGCAGCACGGTCCTGAGGAAGACGAAATTGCCAAAACGTCAGCCATCGACCACCAAGAACGACAACTATATCAACCTCGCATCAGCTCAACAAAATCAATTCATAAAGACCACATTGATTTACCGAACTGCAGCAATCAGTACCGGTCAAAATGGTAGTATTCGGTGTTTTAATCCAATATTTTGGCGAAAACGATTGTATAAGGCAATTCCTAGTGAACACGACTAATGATGCAGAATAAGTAGTGTAGACAACCCAGATCATCAACCCCCAAGTATTCTATCCTTTACAGATCGCATGAAAAGACAGATCAACTTCCTATGAGTTATTGAATCTAAGCATTAGTTTAAGTAGTCGAAACAAATGAGATCTACAAAAGTATTAGTAAAATGTTGGCTCTAAGGACACCGTAGCTGCTCAATCATTACCAAATCAAGAGAAATTCATCAACACATTCGCGACTATATGAGTGATACACATCACACGGTAGCATCTGTATTTTTGAGGAAGCGTAGTTTGGGCCTTGGCTAGATTTCTTAATTGAGATGAGGAAACATATTGTATTACAAGGAAAATCCAAACGTTCACGAACACCTAGATCCTTCTTTGTCGAAGTTCATTTCTCAGAGAAGCAAAGGGCAATTGAGCACCAGGGATGTATCGTCAACCGCGAAAGATAATACTCCCGAGTATATGTTCGCTGTTCGCCGACACAGCGCTTAGGTGATCCTCCTAAGCTTTTATGCTCTCAGCTACTCTAACTATCGAAGAATTGTGGGGAAGCACCATCGCGAATGTACTGAACATAACAATCATGAACCTATGAAGTATTAGCATGAGCATGACTGGTCTCTGCAGGTCGTGTTTATTTCTGACAAACTTATCGATTGGCTTCTCATCAATCCGCTTTTTACGCCTTCCCATCCATCAGCAGGCCGTAACAATCCTTCCTCCACGCGTTTATTAACCTGGAATTCCCGAACTAAAACTGATTTTTAGCAACCGCGTTAACAGCTTCCCTACGTGTGACATCAACATACCTCTTGTGCCATCATCAAAAAGGCGTCAAATATATTCTTTCCTGTGACAGCCGAGGTCTCAATAAACTTCATCTTATGGTATTTAGCAAAATACTCCCCTTCTTCATAGTCTACCTGAAACTGAACTAAACGGCCAAGAGTTGATGTCATATGTAAAGACTCAGAGAACTTCAGCGAATAAGTGGTACCTGTCTCTCACACTGATCATCGGATTTGTGGCCAACTAACATGAAAACACATTTTCCTGGATTAGGACCACCGACACACTTCTCAGCTTCGTTGAACCACATGCTAATATTTTCGAAGCTGGTTCGGTTCGAGACGTCGTAGACCAACATTACACCAACCGAATTACGATAATACGATCTTGTTATGGATCTAAAAGCAAGCCAGTCGTATCAAAGCAGTTTTATTTAAAAATAAAGGCCAGCGAGACTACCTGAATTTTTCTTGCCCGGCTGTGTCCCAAAGTTGCAGCTTCACTCTATAATCAGGCCGTAATTCTATCATCCGTGCATAGAAGTCAACACCAACCGTCGGATCAGAAACTTCTGCCGTTCTTCCGTCAGTGAAATATTTCAGTATACTCGACTTACCAACGGTTGAATCACCAATTAAGATCATTCGGTATTGGTAATGAAATAGTGGGCCATAGTCGTCGCCAATAAAGTTGAACTCCATACCTAGGCAGCAGTTTATTACAGTTCTCTATAGACAGCAAAAGCAAAGGAAATGCTATCATCGACTAGTAATGGTTAATGAAAAAAACAACTACAATGATTTTGCAAAAACCCGGACCGCATGTGTCCGCAGTAGGGAACAAACACGCTATTACCCTCTCCGAGGGCCAACGCGTTCACCACCACACCATGTGGGTCCTTCGTTTTTCCTCTCTCAGCTAGTCCTATCGATCAGCGCCATCAGCAATCACTCGGTCAACGGGATTGATCTAAGGAGTCCATATCGGCAATGAACCCAGTGAAGCTGAGGCTGTAGTCGAAATCACAATGCTAACTTCTTTATTTACTGCCTATTATAATTTTTCATGGGCAGAGTATTACGTGTGAAACAACCACAATGATGCTGAGATATTTGCAAAACTGCGGATTACAGGTGCCTGCGGTGGGGAACGAGCGCGCTGTTACCTATTACCTGAAGAAACAACGTCCAGGAAATCCATAAAGGAAAGGAGTCCAGAAAATGGAATGCAGCGAACGATCGCACAGTTTGAAGCTAACCTTCACTGGAAGCGCTTTTGTTAAAGAGATGACAAGGGATTATAAGCAAAACAGAACATTGTACTCATTAGTCAACTGGCTAGGGATAAGGCACAGAGATGGAATAACGCTACTGGTACCGAAAAATATCTGCTGATGAACGTGGCATCCACAGCTTACGTTATTCTATAGTTCTTTGACCTGGCTAGTCGAGAAACGCTACAGAACGCAACAGCGCTCTACAATGAGAATAGAGTGAAGGGTGTGCTCTGTACAAAACCACTAGTACTATCGATGTTTACCAGTACTAAGACGACGAAGTAGTCGAGCTCATGCAGCCGAAAGTGAGACTCACAGAGTCGGTCAGACGTCCGCGACACCGCCCCGGCTTCTCATTGGAGCGCACTTTCTCATCGTTCGCTGCCCACCAGTACAGGTCTGATCTGGGCTATGTGTGTAAGAAACCCTGAGTTACTAGAGTTTCAACCTGTTAAAGGGGCTAGTCTTCTGATGTATTCTTCATAATGTGTCACCACTCATGGATGTTTAGTGAAAAGCTTTATGTATTAGTTTGTTAACTGAGAATGTGTGAGGTTGGTATGGACTGTCATATTTCAAAGATCATTGGGGTCCATCAGACCCCATCTTTCTTCTCAGTAGTCATCATAGTCTTTGCATTCGTCTGTGGTAGCCTTGTGTGCCTGAATTTTTACTGGTACTGAAGCTTACTTGTAAGTTGGAATTTCGACGGGAACCGTTCCTGGTGCAATTGTTTTCGAATCGAATGGATTCGCATGTGATTCCGTGATGATATACAGCTAGATGATGGATACGGATGCAGCTGTGGTCGTAAGCCGTTCGATAATTGCCCGGTCAAACGGGGTCAGTTGTCGTTGCAGGTGCTTGTTGCCGGCAATAAGCATTGCTGGAGACCATCCGGGCACATGTCGGGGTTATGAGACCCCCAGGAATTCGCCGAAGGAACTGAACTCTCGAGTCATGAGACCTCTAGCGATTTGCTGAAGAAACTCGCGAGGTATGCTATGAACGCTAGTTCTCTAACCATGGACATTTGTTGACAGCTAGTACCACGAGCCCTTATAAACGGATAAGGCTCCCAATGTCAATCAATCCCCTGGAGAGACGTGCCATCCATTCGACTTCATCAAGTGCAGCTAGAAGTTGCTGAATGCATATCTGGCCTTTGCAATGTCTCTTACTAACCTACCGATGTATCAGGCTATTGCTGCTATCCTGCTGGACAACTCTTGCACCAATTTGCAGATCCCGCAGGGGTGCAAGGCTTGGTGAGCCCGAAGCGCGGGATCGATCTCATGTTTATTGCAGGCGCCTCTAACTACTGCGCTACAAGCCCTTATAAAATAGATAAATTTTACCGAGTTAGACTCAACATGTCATGCTTTATACGCATTGATTTCAATGAATCTATGTTGGAAACATTAGATCGTTATCTTGAACAAACTTGTCAGCTCACACTGCATTTTACTACCAGGATAACAGAAGCTGTTTTAATGTTCAGATCCTTGCCAAAAAGGCACTTTTTTTGAGGGCTCATAGAGCTTCTCTTCCCTTTTTTCGTGGAGGCTCCTGTTTCGAACACTGAAACGACTGCACAATCGGATTTTCGTAGAATAGGGATAGAAAAGCATGGCGCCCTGCAATGTATCGCTGATGTTTGAGCTAATTCGTTTCCGATTTTTTTGTGGATTCGGATTGTAACGTTCAGTTCCCGAATTTGGTTCTTGAGAGTTGCTGAGAAGTCTTCACTAACTAGAGAAGTTCAAAAATTGAGAACTTGGTAGCGTTGTATAGGGCAATTCACTCTATCCACCATGGAGTGAATGCGATTTCTTTAGAGCTTTTGTTTCAGCTTCAAATCCGTGGGCGCATGTGGCGCAGTGGTCGGAGGCGCCCTGTAACACACACGTGGAATTGGTCCCCGCGCCATGGCCCACCAAGACTTCTATCCCTCCGGGGTCGGCAAATTAGTGCCAGATTTGTCTCCAAGGGTAGCAGCAGTGGCTCGACACATCGGTGGGCCACCGCGAGTCATTGTAAAGGCCAGATATGCATTCAATCACCTCCAAATGATGCTTGATGAAGTCGACTGCACGGCGCATTCCTCAGAGATTGATCAACGTCGCGAGCTTTATCCTTTATTTTATCCTTTTCAAGTCTGTTTAGAAATAAAACTCCAGAAAAGTCAAGACTTCCAACGCAAGTCAGTGGTGCAGAAGAATCATTTGTATTTTTCATGAGCATTATGCTCTTTTTCCAACAGTACAAAGTCAGTTCTCTCAGCGCGCGCCAAAGGGTCTGAGCACTGGTGGAATGTCTACTGGTAAATACAAAGGAAGGGAATGAATAGAAAAAAAAACAATCTTTTTGCTTTAAGCCAGAAATCCTTAATATGGTGCTCCAGTTGTTCGGCTAACAAATGGTCGGTAACGAAAATACTACTGACGATAGAATAGCCGACGAAGGATATTTACGGTGTTATTTAGGGAAGCCTAAGCATCTAGTTAACATTCGATGAGAGTAAGTCTTGCTGAAGTAAAGAAGCAGATTACAGACGAACCTTAACACTGTGTGCCCTGCACCCCTTACACCGTACAACGTTACTGGAACTTCTGCTACTGGCTAACATTTTACGTCCAGTTTGTGTAAAAGTGCTAAAAGTGTTGTTCCGAAGGTGTTTGCCTCCTATACTGTCGACTAAATTGTGATTTAGTCACATTTTGTTTACTGCTTATTCTTTCTTCATGGTAAGGTATGATGTGAAATACAACTATAATGGTGATGAGATATTCACTATTAGGGGTTAAACCTATCGTTTTTAACCTATAGGTTAGAAACATAGCTAAGAGTAAGTTGTGATTATTCAATGAAGAGGTGATAATTCGGAATGGCACTACAACAAGAAGATGCAAATATCGTGCTTACATGAACCCGGACTTAGTCATTGATTAACTCAGGGAAGAATTCGATGTAGATATCAAATGTTTAACATCATGTCCATTGCGAAGTGCTCAGAATATGTACTAATAAACCTACCGATAAACCTGTCGATGAGTAGTGAAATTATTCACAATTATTACTACTTCTTTTGCTATCCGGAGCAGATTTTGGCCTGGCTGCTCTCGGAACTCCAGAGAACCACAATGGTTTAATCAGCAAATCTCAGGAGAATGGAAATTATGCTGAGGCCCGCACAACCAGTCAGGACGGGCCATCCAACTATCTAAGCATCCTTTCTTGTTTTGCGAACATTTTATAAGTGTTATTCTCTTAGAGGTCGTAATATTATCAAAAAAACTTTGACCACTGTTTACCATTTCTTGAGAGACCAAGGTGTACCTTCCTTACTTCTGTGGAATAACATGATTAGTGGATAAATTCTTTATTATAACTCTATACTCTGGACACTTCTCGTTGAGCAACGATAGCAGCAAAACCTTACTTTATCCATTTAACTAATCGTAGAATGTCTCATTTAAAAATGATAGTATATTAATTCCCAAAACCGACTTTCTATTAACCTCGGAATTGATAAGTGATTCGCTATGTTCTTGATAAGCACCCATGAGGCTTTTATTACATACTGTTTATTACCAGTGGCTAACGTTCCCTTGAACTTCGCATTCCTAAAGGCCTGGTATGGTTAAGTTGATGTGTAACCTAGTCAGCCAAACATATCCATGACCCCAACAGTAAAACCACGATACGCCGAACTCTTGCAATCATCATTTCTAATTCCAAGGCAAACTGAGCAATGGTGAGTTCTGGTTAGACGGTCATGCAAACTGTTATGAACTAGCTGGCATCTTTGAGTGTTCGGTGGTATTTCAGTAGTCATTACGAAATTCTCTAGACCAGCCCTTTTTAAGCAACGTTTTAAAGCTAGGGTTTCGTTAGAAATAAAGGGTAGGATAAACGAGACCGTATTCCCGCTGGAATTTTTCTTTGAGGTTATGGTTTCTCCTTTACAGCTATCTCGAGGTAGTACAGTTACGTGGCTATTGGAAATGGCCATTTGTCGCGCCAATTTTAGAGATTTCAGGAATTTCAGGTGCTCTTCCTGTTGTTCTCTTTCTGTCCACACAATTGCAGCTGTTAGAAACATGATCTCACAAGCACCGTTTTTGTGTGTGAAGAGCGACGTTCGGATAGGTTAGCTTGAGGGCCGGAGTTGAGAGCTAGTTTTCTTTTGGCTTCTCTCATGTAAATTTAATGTCTTCTAACTGTTCGTGCAATAACTCAAAACATTTGTCCACCTCCTATTGTGTGAACCAGATGACAAAACAATCATCTGCATATCTGTTGTAGATTAACGGCCGAGTGTCGATTACTGGAGCTTCTGTTTTAGACCAAAAATGAACCACAGAGAGGAAAGCCTTATTACCACGTCAGATCTCATATAATATCTGGGAACGATATTTTAACGGAAAAGGAGCTCAATATCCATTTATGTGAGTTCTGTAAGATTGCTCTCCACGTGAAAGACTCATTGGAAGACACATAGAAAGCAGTGAGTGTGCGAAGAAGCTGTTTTATTTCCAATAAAGTTGGAAATTGAATGTCGTGGTTGTTCTATTGGAGGTATAAAGGTGTTTGGCTGATTAGATTGTAGTTAATGTAACCTTTCCAGACCCTGAGAAAGGCGAAATCCACCGAAGTGTTGCTTGTTGTGAATGAGCAGTACATGATAAAACCCTCGTATATGCTTATTGAGAAAATAGCGAGTGATTGTACAGTTCCAATTAACAGGTTTACAACTGAGGACTGAGATGAATAAGTAGGAGGTTTTCTGGATTAGGAAACTCTCACAGGAGATGGAAACAGCCGGACTAGTGAGGAACTGGGAGATCAAGCCCAAAAATGCACCTTACATCTTACTTCATTTAGCACGCTAATTCTGAATCTCATCATTTGGAAGCAATTTGAACACAAGATTTGCAGATTTGAATAAGGGTTGCATTTGGTTGGATTCCTGGTACGCGCTGTACATCTTGGTTTACCGTACAATCACAACGAATTGTAATACATCGTGAGCAAAGGAAATCCCACCATCGGAGATCCATGGGATTAAAAACGTTGAGTTTTGAATTTGAAATTCAATTATTGAAAAAAATGCGAGGATGGATAGTTCTGCAAGATTCGTTGAAGTTGCAATGCACGATTTCAAACTAACGACGCAAAGTCTTTCGTTCGGTAATGAAAAAAGATGACGAACTCGTTGAAGTGAAATCAGCCGGCTCTTCGACGCGTTGAGGTGATCCTGAACGACATAAGGAACGCTACGAATCCGCTGTCGGTTCCGGTGTGTTCATAGCCGATTCGACGGGCCGTTAGACACCGGTGCCTTCGAGAACGTCCGGAACATCATCACACTGCGCTTCTGCTGCGCGGATGCGTTCATCATCATTCCGCCACCAAAGCCAGCACGAAATCGTTCGCCGCTTTTCCGCACTGCCGCCACCGATGAGCGCTGTTTCTGTAATCACTAGTAAATCGAACTGTTTCGGGTTATAAATATTTTTAAACGGCTGATCTTCATTCTTACCCTAAGTCTGAGCTTCAGATAGAGCAATTTGTTCGCAAGAAAATAAGGAATGAAAACCGAGTTTTGAAACTCAAAAGGGCTGCTACTGTTGTGATAAACCATTCCATTAAGTGTCACTGACAAGAAGGAAATGGGTGTAGTGCAGTAGTCAAGCGTACCTTTCAATATGTATAGAGTCTTCGGTTCCATCCCACGCACCAGGTGAATTTAACCCCCAATCCCGCTGGGATCGCCAAATTACAATTTGTCTGGGAGTATAAGAACAACGACTTGATTCATCGTCCGCCCCCGCAAGTCCATGCCTGGACCAGATATGCACTCAATCATGCCTACGATATTTTATGACGTCAAATGAACGGCGCATACCTATAGGACAGACAACTGTCGCATGGTTTTTCCCTTATCCTCGAAAGAATTGAAACTTTCCTAAGTACTTTGCTCAGCTTATGGTCATTTAACCAGAGCAGTGAAACGAAGTCAACAGCCTATGTCTACTTCTTTCCTTTTTTTCTTTGTACCTGCTACTTTATATCATACAAAAAATATGTTTACTTTTTGTTCGTATTTTTGTTGAGCAATGCATACTAATGTATACTAGTATACTATAATATTGTATAATAATGTATACTATTATACTTCCACGTGATTTCTGTGCGGTTGGTCTCTACGTGACATACTTAGTGGAAGCCTCATAGGAAGCGGCTCTGAGGAAGGCGAAGTCCGCCGAAACGTCAGCTTAATCGTGAACAAAGAATAATAACACCTCGCGTTTGCTCAACAAAAATACGAACAAAATCACTTGATCAATGCCGAGGTTAATAGAAAGTCGGTCGTGGCAGTTACTGCAAGACGTTTACTTTTATTTTCTACCCACTACAACTTTTACGGCAGGGTATCATACGAAATACAACCACAGCAATGTTGAGATATTTGGGTTCAATGCCTATGTAGACCCCTAGATCAATCCCGATGACGGGTAATTGCAGATGGGACTGATCGATAGAAGTAGCTGAGAGACAGGCGAAACGAAGGACCCACATGGTGTGGTTGTGAACACGTTAGGCCGCGGAAAGGGTAATAGTTCGTTCGTTCCCTACCGTAAACGCCTGTGGTTCGGAGTTTTGCAAATGTCTCAGCATCGTTATGGCTACAAAGAATACTTTCTTTCTCTAGCTTGACACAATATTTGCGCCTGCACTCTCGTTCAGTTTTTTTTGCTTTATAACTTAATTTTCCCCTTTATCAAACCTTGTAGCCAAATTTCGGTGGCTTATTCCTTCTGTTGTTGTTATTAGCGTTGCTTTTTCCTTGGTTATTATTACTGTTGATACTGTTGAACTATTTCTATAAGCCTCCTAACGGTTCACCGCCTCTTCTTGGCTGGGTGGTGTTCTTGGGTGTCGGGCTACGATGTACAGGAGAATTCATCCCACGGCAGGGTTTCCCAAGCTGAGAAGGAGTCCGGCATTTCCATCAGGGACCCCAGCCAAGAGCAAACCAGTACCAAGAATCAGCACCGCCCTGGTATCAAACTAGTCGCATGGTGGCAAATCTTCCTCTAGTAAACAAGGGCGGCGACTGCCCCTGATGGTGAAGACCTGTGGCAGACTTTGGCCAGACTGACCTCAGGACTCCAGGGACACACAGTGGCTAGAGCAGCAGAACTCCAAAAAATGGAGAATATGCTGGGGCTAAACACAACCAGTGAGGACGGGCCGTTCAAGTATCCAAGTATCCAACTATTTCTATAAGGGTCTACGTGCTCAAGTTTGAGGTTTGCATAGCGAAACATACAAAGACCCCACGGTAACATTTCCGAAGTCAAGTGTTTTGTCATTAGTATTTTTTTTGCTCGGACAACAACGCAGAGAAATCCGAGGTGGTCTACAAAAATGGTCCACGCAAAGCGTATATCGGAGGTTAATACCAAGTAGGACTTGGAGAAACGTGGTGAAGAATTTGCAGTTAAAAGGATGAACATAATATTACTCTAACGCTTACTGCCTAGGAGTGGTGAGAAAATACTGCAGAAGGCCTGCTGTGTCAAGCAAGACCACATATCCACGGAAGTCTACTGAAGCAGCACAAGGAGAATAATCTGTGGTGGACTAAAGTCTTAAATAGGAGAAATCGATCTCATTCCCTTTTTGTTACGGCGAAAATGTGTTCACCAAGGTGGCGTCGTTTGTTACAAATCACAAGTACGAAATTGCCTGAAGGCTTGACAATGTTCCAGTTCATTTAACTTAAAATCTTACGAGGTCAAAATGCATTAAATGACAGGTTTGCCTCGGTAAGCATTTAGTTCAAATGACGAGAAGAGCGACGAAGTGCTAAAAGGGCAAAATTTCGAGTTGTCCAGGATGTAATAAATTTCACAAGGATAATTTCCTGATGATCCATCCATCTCGTCATAAATCAACGATGTTCCTAGATATCGCACTGCGATACACAGCGAGAGCTTCATTCTCTATCGTTGCGAGAAAGAATTCGATATTGCCGACCGAAAGTTCAGTAAACCAGTCAGTACCATCCTAACAAAGATGCGACCACTTAGTGAATACGGCTTTCGAGACACCAAGAACCAATAAGGATTTCTTTAATTCATTATCGAGCAAACTGATAACTGAGGTAGGAGATCTCTACATCGCGCATTAGTTCGACAGGACATACTTCTCCGAATAAACAAAAGAGATAATAGCTTTCCCGACATTGAAATACTTCTACCATTATTGCGATGAAGACAACGTTTCGGCAGTTTCGCCTTCCTCCGAGCCTGGAAAGGTCAGGTTGACTGAAACTTACCCACCCAAACGCGCCCATAATCAAACAGGCAATTTGCTAAATCAAGATTTTAATCATATTGAACACAGAATGGCTCCTCTGCACACCCACCCCTTTCAATGAGTTTTCCACTGGGTATGTGGTATTTAAGATTGATACCTTTATATGAGAGCCACATGGCGCTTCCATGTGCACTCTGTGCGGTTGGTCTCCACGTAGCATACTTAGTGAGAAACTCATCGAAAGAAGTGAGCGTGCACGTGCACAGGAAGTACTCTGTGTTTAATGTGATTGAAACACTGGTTCTACATTTTTTCTGTTTGATTATGGAAGTGTTGTCCTGGGTAGATTGCCATCAACTTGAGGCTCTGAAGAAGACGAAATACGACGAAACGTCAGCTTCATTGTAAAAAACAAAGAAAAGCTCTCGGCGTTGATCAATCCCTGAGGAGTGCTCCCTGTAAACATCGTTGGAGGTGATTGAACGCATATCTGGCCTTTACAATAACCCGCGGTGACCTATCGATGTATCGAGCCAGTGCTGCTATCCTCCCAGACAAATATGGAACCAATTTGGCGACCCAGGATGGATGGAAAGCTTGGTTAGCCATTAGCGCGAAGATCGATTCCACGTGTGTTGCAGTGGCTCCTCCAACCACTGCGCCATACACGCCCTCTAATCGCAATGAAGAATAGAATAACACCATGCGCTTTGCTCAACAAGAATATAGACAATTATTTGATCAATGCCGAGCTTAACAGAAAGTATATCGTGGGAATTAATCCCAGGTTTGTTTATTCTATCCGATATGAGAACTAGCTCGTCTTATTGACTTCCATCAGAGGAAACCCACGTGACCTAAGTTCCTGACGCACTCGGGTTTTTTTAATTACAATTATATTTTTCTGAAATGGCGTCTAGCAGCACAGGTGTACCTCACCATAGAAAGTATTGACGACCTCGAATGTCTGACAAGTCTACTGACATATTAGTCAATGGCATTAGTTTACGAATAAAGTCTGTGTCATCACTATGTATCATAAAGGTATGTCACCATGTTCGCTACCTTTTGTAAGTTCCGAGACAAAGAATAGGTATGCAGCTTCTGCAGTGAGTTCCGATAGCCACATGATGAGTAAGTTGCTTACTCTCTGAAAGTTCTGTCTCTGCAAACTATCCGTTAATCAATATAGACTTTGACCAACAAGATGTCGAGGTGCAAACAAGAACTGGAGCACTCTTCACAGGAGCTAGACCACCATCGGGTCGGTGATGTTCCTGCAGCACGTTTGGCGTCCCGAGGAATCCAGTCACTTACAGCTCCTGTCCATCGGTTTTCATCATACGCATTACGTGTACAGCCCACTTTCGACAATTTGGCGTCTAGAACGATGTCTTTGTTTTTTGATGGTTGACCTAGGTCGGTGCTTCGGATCCTCTCTTTCAATTGCGAGAAACGGGATGCTCCTGGCACCGTCCTTTTGACTGTGCCTTATATAAGCGTTATTTCATTCTGCTGAGTGATATTTCATCCTTACGCAGCGACGAGGCTTCCAAGGAGTACATTAACACAGAATAAGTCGTGGAATCGAAGAGGTAGGCAAGCGATCACGAGTCCTAATTAGTTTCAAAGTCGCTCGCATCCTCCTGCCCAACTCTGGAAATCTCGATGGCTTTCGAACTCTTAGCTTGCACAACTCTAACGTGAAGATGTCTAACAACCTGATGGTAGGCTAGAACAGGAAAAGACAACACAACAAGACATGGAAGCTGAAAGACAGGCGAAACGAAGAACACACATGGTGTGGCGGTGAACGTGTTAGCCTCCGAAAAGGGTAATAGCGTGTTCGCTCTCCACCGCAGATAGCTGCGGTCCGGAGTTTTGAAAATATCCCAGCAACGTTGTGGTGTATTTCGCTTAATACCCTGTCGTAAAAATTTTAGTAGGCAAAAAATAAAAAGTAACTGGGTTCGTTGCCGATTTGGGCCCCCTAGATCAATCCCGCTGACGGGTGATTGCTGATGGCAAAAGACCGATAAAACTAGCTGAGAAAGAGGCGAAACGAAGGACCAGCGTGGTGTGGTGGTGAACGCGCTACTCCCGAGAAAGGACAATAGCGCGCTCGTTCCCCACCGCAAACACCTGCGGTCCGGAGTTTTGCAAATATCTCAGCATCGCAGTAAATAATAAGTTAAAATTGTGAATAAATCTCCATTCATGGTAAATGGTTTGAGGGCTACGTTTTTTGTAACCAGCTGCTTTTTCTCCCTTTCGCGATGAATGAAATCTTTCATGAAGGAGGTGGTAGTCTGATCCCGTGTACAATTTTGGGACAACAGCGACTTCGGTAGCTAGGGAAAAAACCTTCTATTTACTATGACGTGGTCTATTTCGCCATGCCGCTCTACCTTTGGAGACTTCCACGTCTAGCGCTGAGAGTGGGGCTTATGGAATTGCCTGTTACCACGAATGCTCTTGCTCGTTATGGTAGACTCAGATAGCCGTTCACCCTGTTCGATCCATTCTAATCCGTTTTTTCCACTGTGACGTTTTTCAGACGTTTTACTGAGTCAAATCTTAGTGCCAAAATCTCCAATGATGGCCTAAAACAATATACATCTTCAAGTCCGTATAGAAGGCTTCGATTTCGCCTTCGTATATCTTGACGTCGGTATGTAGACGACGAAGATTGTTGAAACGGTAGTTGATCCATGTATCTTCGACCGTAAACGTCCGATTCAGGTTGTTAGTCATTTGAATGGATCGATGCTCATGACCAAACTCGTGTTGACAGAATCGCCGGTTCAGTCGTTTCCTCTATTATCGCATGTTCCGAGGAACAGATCTTCTCCGGTGTCATAGTCAGTAATCTGGAGGAGCAGTACAACAACCGAAGTTCAACAGCCTTCTAAAATCAGACTTTAATCACAATATTGCTGAGATATTTGCAAAACTCGGGACAGCAGGTGCGTGTGGTGGTGAACGAATGCGCTATTATCTTTTCCAGGCGTAAACGCGTTCACCATCACACCATGCAAGTTCTTCGTTTCGTCTGTCTCTAAGTCAGTTCTATCTATATGGTTAATTTTCTACACTCTACGATTTTCTTTAACTTACATTCACTGTATCTATCACTGAGGTCAAAGAAAGCACTTCAATGTATCACTTTATGGTAGCGAATCGTTCGTAAATTACTTTTTATTGATTAAAGTACTATGTGCTTTTTTTTCTTTTTTTGACATTTCAGTGTCAATTCTATCATCTTCCGGTCTCAGAAATCGATTCTCGCCCTTCGCAAGCCTAAAGCCTCAGCTGTGCTCAGCAAAGTGCTTGTATTTTGCAGCAGATAAGCTTTTTTATTAAACATTTCAGGCAGGCACTTGCTGAGCATGGGAAATATGCACAAAAACCGGGTGAAACCTCGAATTTCGAACCGACTCAGGAAATACCGGAAGGAAAAGCTTGCAGAATAGAAACGTCCGCGATGATGAGACCTCTTAACCTTACTCTTTGCCATCAGCGAGGCTCAAAATAGTAATTCAATCGATTTTTTTATCCTTGTAAGTTAAGACTACATTAGATCTCTATGCTTGCGATCAATTCTAAAGTGCAGGATGTACCTGAGGGTATCTACCGAGTCTGTTAGTGATGCAGTTTGCGGTGTAGATTGATAGAATGACCACAGCCACCAGGCCGCATGCCAGAGCGATCGCCCACTGCGGAATCGATGTGTTGGCCTGAAGTAGTGAGCACTAAAATAGAAAGAAACTAAGTGGATATAATATCGAACCTCTCAAAGTTATATCTATATATTTGTACCAAATGAGCTGTGATGTTATGGTATATCAAAAAAAAAACTTGACGAAGACGACTTGGAAAAACCATGGACTTTTTGTTCAACTTTTCTGTAAAGGATAGGATAATGCGTTCGGCGTCGATCAATACCTGAGGGATGCGTCATGCATACAACTTCGTTAAGAATCATTGGAGGTTATTGAATGCATATCTGGCCTTTACATTGACTCCCGGTGGACTACTGCTGTCGAGCCAGTGCTGCTATTCTTGTAAGCAAGTCTGGTACCAATTGCCAATTTGTCGACCCCGGAGGTATGGAAGGCTTGGCGGGTCATGGGCGCAGGGATCGTGTTGCAAAATACATCATTTTTTATCTGTTTAGTTCGTAAAGAAGCGTGGTATCGATTCCACGCGCGTGTTTTATACTGCCTATTATTTTTTCATGACAAGGTATTAGGTCAAATACAACCACTAGGATGCCGAAACATGAGCAGAATGGTGAACGTCAGCTCGGCTTCGAACCCGTGATTACACTTTCGGGAGATCACGCGTTATTCACTGCACCATCGAGAGCCCTTCTTTGCCTTTCTCTCAACCAGTTCTTTTTCTTTACACAAGGGTTACTATAAGCAATCACTTATTATCGGGAATGAGCACGAATTGTCATTGAAACCATTTAGCTGAAGGTGCGGTTGAAATCCCTTTTTATTTACTCCCTTATTTACTGAATTTCCTAGCGTTAGTTGTTCTTGAAAAATTCTAGTGAATAGCTTCTACCTGCCTTAACACTGGACGCCTCACTCTGTCGAACTTTATGGAACCACTGTGCCCAGGTAAAATGAAATAGTGCTTATTTTTCATCATCTCCGTCATACTTACCCAGAACACTAAAATCATCCAACTGCTTCCCAAAATTGTTCATTTGCTAGCGAAGTCGTCTACGAATGACAAAATTTTGTCTTTTTCAAATTCTACAAGTAACCCCATGCAGGTTAGTTCTACATGAACCAATATCACCTGTATGACTTGTAGTCCCGTTGGTCGTCGAGTGATTCGTGCGAGTGCCAGTAAATCTTCCATTTTTCCCTGTCACGTGCAAGAGTAGCCCAGTGGGTTCTGCTGGCTCTAGAGATTCATTGAGCATCATATCTTTCTTCTATGCTTTTCGCGAAGAACTCTGACCATCGAGTCAGTGGTCTTCCTGAGGTACGCTTGACATCCCGAGGAATCCAGTAACTAACGGCTCTTGTGCATCGGCTGTCATTCATACGCATTACGTGTCCGGCCCAACTTATCTTCTACTGTTTGGCGTACAGAACGGCATCTTCGATTTTTGGTCGTTGACGCAGGTCGGAGCTTCGGATTCCTTCCCTTATTAAGAAGAAACGAGCCAATATATAAGTTAAATTTGAAAATTCGTAAATGTGAACGGTTAATTTATTTACTTTCCTCTCGTGTTTAACCAGTTTAAGAGTGGGGATAATGAATGATGAGTAATAATCAAGTAATTATTGATATGTAATAATGTAAGGATTAATATGAATAGAATTCGTACACTGCTCAATTCGACATCGATTATACGATGAGCACGTTGGATTGTGGACTGAAGTGTTACGAGAACTGGTTCCCGAGAAGAGAATGACATCGGATGGCTGTATCGTTGAAGACGCTCCAGTGAGTTGCTGGAATCCCGGGTATTCGGAAGAGCACCGAAACGACAATAACAAAGGGAAGCGCTTGTTATGACGGCACCTTTCGCCTTTGTTTTCTTGCTATTGGTTCATTATTTTGGTATCGTAAAAAAGCAGCGAATGGAAGTAACATAAAACGCAAGAGAGTTGTGTACAAAACGCAATAAGCACACATGCCAGGAGATTTAGTGTAGACAAGGTAAGCGCTAAGTAGATGCTAAAAAGATAGCCGCTCAAAGTTTCAGTTTTGGGTGCCATTTAGCGCCGTGAGTTAAAATCAGGAAGTCAACACGGGCCACATTTATAAAGAACTTTCTAATTTCAAATCTGTTGCTGGATTTCTGAGTGTTTCAATACATGTTTCAAAATCCCTTTCAATATTCTATTTTGCAAAAGTCCCAGACCGTCCTTAATGCTTTTTTAATCGCAAAAGTATAAAAAGAAAACTCACGAGTAGATGGGCACCACGAACGGTTTTCGTATATGACCTGGGTTCCAGGATCTGATGTAGATAATCATCAGGTCAGCTTTGCATTGAGCGGACCAGTGCCGGCTGAGGAGCTGTGCGAAAAGAAAGGCCGCAGCTGGCAGTGACGATGGTCGTACAAAATCTAGTGACGATTCACACGAAATCACACTGAAATTCTCCTTTCTCTCGACACAGGTTGAGATTATTCTTAGGTAGATTCTTCTATGGGTAATTAGCACGCAGAGCAACTGCGATTTCAGTTAGGGAAAAAACGTGAAGGATTATCGTGAGCCCCAATGTGTAGCTCCACTGCAAAGCATTACAGCGGCGTTTTCTGAACTAAAGACAAGTATTTCTCAAGTCATTTTGAGTAGCTCTCTGCTCTTTCTTTAAAAAACCGCAGTGTTCACAAATCCCCAGAGGTGAGCCTTTGCATATGGATTGGTGTAGACACCACCATGTACAGACGGGATATTTTCGTAGATATTACAAACAGTGTTAAATCGTACTGATCCAATTGAACATTAACCGGGACTAGATAGTCAGGACCATTTTTTTGTTCGGGATCAGTCACTGATAACGTAGTCCATCCTCTTTTCAAAAAACAATCCGGAAGGTCGGTTCCCTTACGTGCCTTACCTAGCTAGAAATCTCTTGGATAACAGGATACAACACGGACACTTGTCGTCATTTGCCAATTTGGGAAGGATTGAGGATTTCCAAAAAGTGTAATGCCTTTATCACGTTGACTGGAGAGTTGCTTATAGTTTTAGCGACTTGTCTTTCGTTCAAATATATGGGTAGATCAGTTTTAATGGTTGTCCTGTTCCGAAATAGGGATCTCCTACGGGTATTATTTATCTACATGGAGCAATGGTCTCGACAGGCATTTTTTTGGGCTGCAAAGGTTTCAGATAATGTCAGCTGTTGGCTGAAACTGAACGGAATCAAACCTGTTGATGCTAGTCACTGGAACGATGACAATGCCGAGCTTCTTCCTTTCTCTTCCACAGGTAGAGGTGCAGAAGCAGGACGTCATATTAAGTTGATGAACTGTTTGATCCAGCATTTCAACTTCTGTCCTTGACATGATTCCTGCTGGATCGCATATGTACGCTGTCTAAAGGGACAAGTACAGGCATCTGAGAAATGTGTGAGGGAATAGACGAAAAAAGGACTCTTTGTCACTCCTTCACTAGCACACATCCTGTATTGCAGGGATATGAGTGCAAAATTTTCCCGTTGATAAAACGGTGAAAGCTCGTTCATACAAACCACCATTGTTTCAATATTAGGTTAATACAATGAATTGGAATTTAAACGGCGATCTCACAGACTTTTGCGAAATTCTCCTTGATTGGCAGGGTACTAGCAACGATGCCGATTCGTGACAAAGTGGTTTGAACCCCTTGAGGCTTTGAATACAAAAGGCTACCTTATGAAGGATTCGACGATGTGATTCGAAAATTGCTACTTATATATAATGCTGAGATATTTGCAAAACTCCGGACCGCAGGCGTATGCGGTGGGGAACGAACGCGCGCTATTATCCTTACCGGGGAGTAGCGCACTTCACCACCACACCATCCGGGTCATTTCAGCATTATATACGAGTTGTATTTCGCAACATACCATGCCATTAAAAAGAAAAAGCAGTAAATAAAAAGGTTAAGATTGCTACTTATTTTTGAGCAGACCTCTATCTAATCTCATCACGCCGCTTGTCTCCACTGCCACCATGTTCTTCAACTACTGAATTTTTTCTATTTTATAGCAGCAACGTCTATTAGGACCTCCTCTGGTGCTAATGAATTTTGAGGCAAAAAGAATAAAGGATAAAGCTCTCGGCGTCGACCAATCCCTGGGGGACTCGCCATGCATTCTCCTTCATTAAACATCGTTAAAGGCGATTAAATGCACATTTGGCCTATAAAATGACTCGCGGTAGCCTCCTATATGTCAGAGCAGTGCTGCTGCCCTCCCAGAGAGGTCTGATACCGATTCGTGGACCTACGAGAGATGGACGGATTGGTGGGTCCGGGAATTGATTTTATGTTCATTGCGCAGTGCCTCTAACTACTGCTCTACGTGTATTTTTAGGTACAACCACAATTTCTCGAGATAGACGAGATACTTGCGAAAGTCCGATTCTAGGCTAGATTCGAACATGCGATTACTTTTTCCAAAGGCTCACGTGTTACCCAGTACACCACTGAGGCCCTTGCTCTGTTTTTCTGTCAGCCAGCTTTCGAAATTTTGAGGTAGTAATGCGCTTTCTGCACCCGTTGCAGAAATGAAGGTTGAGAAAGCCTATAGTAAGTTTAACCTAATTTCTAACATTATGCCTCTAATATTAATTTAGAACCTTGAGTAAAGATTTTTTTAATTACAAAGAACACATTGTGGAATGATCACCACGTTGTGAATGAATGCTGGCATGAAAAACTCAAACCAGGTAAGGAAAACAGATGTAAAAGATAAAATGATAAATAAAGGATAAAGTTCTCGGCGTTGATCAATCCCTGAGGGATGCTGCATGCATTCGACTTCATCAAGCACAGTTTGGAAGCGACTGAATGCATACCTGGGCCTCTACAATGACTCGCAGTGGCCTAGCGATGTATCGAGCCAGTGCTGCTATCCTCCAGATACCAATTTGGTACCAACTTTCCGACCCCAGATGGATGAAAGGCTTGGTGAGCCATGAGCACAGGAATCAATTTTATGTTTGTGTTGCAGGGCGCCTCCAACCACTGCGCCACACGACCCTTTTTGTAAGAGGTAGCAAACAAAAAAGTAACCGATCTCACGGTTACGAAATCCTAATTGTTCCCCTCTTAGGCGAACAAGACTGAACAAGTTATTATAAACTCATAAGACGACAACAAGGTTGTTTAGAGCACTGCGTACGCTGTTGACCACGATATCTTGGGTTAAGATTAAGACAAACATTCTTTTTAGAATAGAATCAACTATTAACAGAGAAAATTCACAACAACTGCTTATAAACAGCAAAGCGAACAAAATTAGGAATTCTTGCCTTGTGATAGTCAAGTTGACAAAAAATGTCGAAATCCTTAGTATAGGGCAATGGAAAAGTGCATGGTCCTGATATGGTGCTGGGATTGTAGTTGGAGCTTCTTCTAGAGAGAACGTGACTGTAGAAATTGGGCCGGCTGAAGAACTCGGATGAAGTGAGAGCACTGGATAGGCCGCTCCTTTACTCAAGGCACTCCACTCACCTCACTACACTGTTCATGATTGCCATCGATAGTAACAATTCCAGCATACCTTACGAATCCATCTAAATCCATACATAACTGTATAACAAATACTGATTTCTAGCCGAAGAACATCAAGACGGAGACTAAAAGCCCAGTGAGAGTAAGGTGAAAATCCTGCTAGAAGTAAAGAGAAGAATATCACAAACCAAGCAGTTCTAGTTTTTTTAGCAAACATACCAAGAACACTGAAATAAACGGAATTTTGCATTTTGATGAAATCAGATAATTTTTAGTGGGCAAAGAATGGCACATTTTTAAATTTAAAGGCACAGCTGAGAGATCGGCAAAACGGAGAAACTGCACGGTGTGGTGGCGAACGCGTTAGATCTCGGAAAGGGTAATAGCGCGTTCGTCCCACTCCGAAGACACCTGCGGTCCGGAGTTTTGTAAATATCTCAGCGTCATTGAAGTTAAATATGCATAATGTTGAGAATCTTTAACGACGTATGTTCTTCATGTCGCTTCATAAAGGAAGTTTGGGGAATTCTTATAGCAGAAAGTGTTGGAATATTGGTTACGAAGATAATAAAGTGAGACCTTCCTGTTAAATTGAGACCAAGCAGTAATTTTTTGTTCATTCAAGCTTTTAACTTCCAAACTGCTGAGCCGATTCCTTTTCAAAGCGCCGTGCATTACAGAGAAGAGTTTTCTAAATATCCAAAAGGTCTCATCATTCCGTATTTACCCGTATTCCGGAAGGATGTTAGCTGTTGTCTGGTCTATCGTAATATCCATTGGAAGCTTGATTTCTTGTCCATTTGTGTGATCTTACTTCTATGGTAACTACAACAGAAATGTCTTCTGAGGAATTGGATTGAATAGAAAACGATTAAAAAGCGAGGAGTGACATAAACAAATAAAAATAGAGCTAATAAGAAAACACTCTGAGAAATAAAAATAAGATAATCCCAAGTATCAAGGCCTTGTGGTAGTTTAAACCCGCGAAAAATCCGGAAAACTTCAAGCAATTCTATTAAGGATGACGGCAAAACCAAACAAACAAAGCAAATGCGAATGTAACGATTCCGTTAGAATATTGAATTAGTAGGCAGAAGTTGAGTCATTAGTTATACATTATACTGGTGAAAGGTCAGCCTACGAAAAGATCAGCAATAACATCTACTATAGTTTTCATGGCGTTTCAAGGAAAACGCCCTTGTTCCTTAAGGAAAATATCAGATCAATGAATTGAAAAACAGAGATCGCCGAAACCCTTAACTGTAGAGATTATACGAAATCGAAAAGAGTCTGGAAGGTTTGGGTGTTTTGGTAAGGTGATCTTGAATAAGTTGAAAAGTAAGGAGTCGGAAAGATTCGAGCCATGGCTAAAATTTGAAGGATTAAAACGCTTACCTCAATCTCTAGAATATTCTGTCAGAATAAGAAGCGGGATACCTGTCATGCCAACAATTAATTATGGATTGCAGACAGCGCACATAATTGATTCGAACCATCGTGGAAAGAAGGGTCAAAAAATGGATAGTAAGAGCAGATCGTAGCAGAAAATGATGGAAATCAACTATATCAGCCACAACGCTGCTGAGATATTTGCAAAACTCTGGACCGCAGGTGTCCTATGGTGGGGAACGAACGCTCTATTGTCCTTTCCAGGGAGTAACGCGTTCATCACCACACCATCCCGGTCCTTCGTTTCGCCTGTCTCTGAACTAGTTCTATCGATCATCGCCATCAGCAATCACCCGTCAACGTTATTGATCTGGGGAGCCCACATCAGCACTGAACCCAGTTAAGATGAGGCTGTAGTTGAAATCACAATGTTTTACTTTTTATTTTCTGCTTACTACAATTTTCACGGCAGGGTACTAAACCTGGGTTCAATGCCGATGTTGGTTCCCCCGATCAATCCCGCTGACGGGTGATTGCTGATGGCAAAAGATCGATAGAACTAGCTGAGAGATAGGTGAAACGAAGGACTCGCATGGTGTGGCCGTGAACGCGTTACTCCCCGGAAAGGACAATAGCGCGTTCGTTCCCCACCATAGACACCTGCGGTCCAGAGTTTTGCAAATATCTCAGCAACGTTGTGGTTGTATTTCGCTTAGTACCCTGCCGCGAAATTATAGTAGGCAGAAAATAAAAGGTAAAGCATTGTGATACCAACTATATCGTTCTGGGAAAAGGCATTCTTTTCCGACAAGAGTGAACGTTCTAGAAGACCAGAATTTTGGGCGAAGGTGAGATAAGCAGTTGTTTACGGCAGTAATGCGTGTGGCTGGAGTCGGAGAATTTCTAAGTCGGCGTAGTTTCATGAGAGCAAGACGCCCGTGTTTTCGGAGCGTATGAGCAGTGAGCATTACTAATGAAAGCTCGAAAGGCAATCCTATCCCAGAGTATTTACCCCTATGGGCGTTGTATTTATATGGTGTTGATTTCAGTTTGAGTGCTTGTTCGAAAGCTTCAGGCATCCTTCTGCTTTTCGTTTTGCTGGCGATTTGTAAATTAGCAGTTAACGCTTTACACCAGAGCGCTTCGATATGCAGATGTTGTTGGGTGTTGCACAATGGTATACCTACGAAACTCCTCAGCTAAAATCTTCCACGAACGCTTTAAACTGCATTCATCAGCTACAGTCAGTTTACCTCTACACACAGATGCCCCTGAAAAATCTTTGATAAAGTCTTTACAGCCCAGGATTTGCACACAAGAAATTCTTATAAAATTTCTAGGTTGGAAGCACCTAGCTGCAAAAAAGTCGTTATTTGCTATATGTTATTTTTATAGAACTTTTTTTAGCTTAGATTCGAAGTCAGGGAAGCGTAAGGGAAGGATGCAACGACGCGTCGACAATGAGGCGAGTTGTATGGATGTTTGCCCACCAGAGTTTTCCTTCCTCGGTTCTGTCGTCCGTGGTCATCATCAGACGGATGTGTGTGCAAAGCCATTCGAGTTTGGCTCTCTAACGACTCTTTGGCGCCTCCAGTTCGATTTGGAAACAGCCGGTCTTAGCAAAAACGAAGTCAATTTGAGAGCGTTTGATAAGAATGTTGTTTATGAAGGAAGGATTGAAATAGATCCATGCAATCAGAAATGGCTCACAACAGCATTTTCAAATAAGGTTCACAGCTAGTTTTTCTGCTAAGGAACATGCAAGTACTCATCTCATGAGCAGGACCCTCCTTATCAGATCATTTTGAAGTAGCCGAAAATGGGAGAAAGGCAGTGGGAGTGGATGATTAAAGAAAAATTTAAAGCACCTTGTGACAAATTTTTTGTGACACAAAAATAACAACTTTTTGTTGAATTTCATTCTCACCAAAAGTAACCGACCAACCGATTTCCAAGTCTTCCCTGTCATGCACTTTCAATGTCTGGAAATTGTGGATGGACGGGAAGGAAAAGTCAACAAATTCGTTGATATAAGAGATGGAGCTCTCCCATACGATTTAAGAAATGAATCTTCGCAATCCTTAAGGCAAAAGTAGAGAGGATCGAAGCACTTTTTCGGCTGTTTACAGGTGTGTTTAAATAGAAAAGGTATTGTGTAGTGTTGGTATGTTGAGTTGAAAGGCACTCAGAGTGTTGAGGTTTGGGTCTTGGAAAGTCAAGCCTCTCACGAGAAAGATTACTGCATTCGATGGTATCCTTCATTAGTGGTTCCCAGTATTTTTTAGCTCTTCTGCAAATTAACTCATCTAAGACGTGTTGGGAAATAAATCTTTTTTGTTCCACAGTTTAGTCGCTTAATAAACTGTCTTCTTTTCATGTAGAAAGAATGAAGAGTTTGAAAGCATTTTTTGGATAGACGTTTATCGCCAGGTCTAATTTTAAACCTTATTGCACTCTTTGACGCTACATTGAGCACCATGGCACTGGATAACATCTTGCCCCACGATCAGAACCGAAGGAGGCGATCAAGCGCACTCTGCTTATTCTGATTTTTTAGGGTTTTTGAGGATAAATGCTAAGCAACGAAAGAGACAGCTTGAAAATAGTCACCTGATTGTCGCTTGTAATGGAATTATATCCTTAAAAAAGGAAAACAGATGAACACTCTATGAAAAGCTAGGAAAATGCAATTATTAACAGGAATAGTGCGAAGTCTCGGAGAAATTGTGAGCAGTATTTTAGAACGGCCAGTGGAAAGAAAAACGCTGGCTTCGATGCGAGTTAGTTTGCTGTGGTGGACGACTTCGATTTCTGAACGAAGGCGTACATCAGCAACACCGCCGAACGACGAGTGGATGGATGGAGGGAGACGAAAAAGCGGCAATGTGGTGGTAAAACACTTGTTGTTAGATTAAACGCTCAAGACCCGCTTAAACGGATGCATTCTACCCTCTCTTGAGGAAACAGTTGAGCGGAGCCGAGCTGAATGAGAAGGTGAAAAATCGCAGAGTGCTGAGGAGGGCTACGACGGCACGTCATTGGCCAGCGGTGCGATATTCCCTGGCTAAATCTGCCTTCAGCTTCGGAGATGACAGGCTATGATTGAAATGAATAAATCAAAACGGAAAGTAAGGAAAGGGATGGGAGAAAAATCCGACCAATACTAGTAGTATATTCAGGCTTCTAACGTAGACAAGTATAGGGCCAAGTATTATAAAATAAAGTGAGAACCCTCCTGAGGGCTATAGACGGAAAAAGGTTGATATGGTAAAGTAAAACGATGTTCAGTTGGACGATTTCGAAACAGAAAGGGGGATATTTTTAAAAAGTCGAGAAAAAATTGTGAAAACTTCGAAACAAACGTTCGGAAACGCTTTTATGGATTGTTAATGAAGATGCTTGCGGTTTTTGTTTTCACTCTAGCGCCATTCACCGTTTATTCATGAGCACTAAACAAGAGTTTCATATCAATTAGTTGAATTTAATGGCTCATTGTTTTTGTAAGAAGCAGAAATGTGAATGATGTCGGTTCAATCCTAGGCAATGGTTCTTAGTACCTGTGTTTTTTGCTATTGTTACTGGGTTGATGAAAATCATTATGGAAGGAGTGAAATGCGACGTTCTATGGCTGGTCGCTTGAACCGCCCTTCACCCACCGCGGAAACGACATCGTTCGGTTCGTCAACCTTTCCGGTGGGCGTCGTTCTCATCATAACCTACTGGCATCGTTCTCTCAACAATTCTTCGAAAAATTCTGCTTCATAAAAGTGCACGACGTCGCACTTTACCAGTGAGGTGCACTATTTCATTAGCATCATTTGAAAGGGTTTCTTTGAAAGACGAAGCAATTGCGCGACGCTCGCGGAATCTTTAACATCGACATGGTGCTATTTTTGCGAAAATCGCTTTGATAAGAAGGCTTTCAATGGATGAAATTCTTCTGCATATCATCTCACTGACGAGCAAAATCCTCTCCACGGTAGTCTAGATCGATAGAATTATGTGGAACATAGTGGTCATTCCATAAGTACATGTATTTTCTTGCCCTGCGCAATGGTTTCGAAAAACGGAACAAACTCTAAACTTTTCCGACCAGTTCGACCACTCAGAGCAACGAATCACTCGATTAGTTGGGTGGGTTCGCCTAATGCCACCTGAGTAATTTACAGCAGTGAAAAATAGGTTTTCCTTCGGGTAATGTCATTCGATCCCAAATTTTGCTTCCATCAATTCAATTTTTCAATAAATGTGAACTGAAAGACTCTCGTTTCATCGTAATAAATGGATTCGATATGTGCTGGATTTTCCATCGGCCAATTTATTCAAGCGAAAGAATATCGAGAAGGAAACAGGGATGAGGAAAATAACGATCAGTGGGAATGGAAATAAGAAACGGGAATAGAGACGGAGATGAGGAGAAAAATGGCAACTTGGCAGAGCTGGCTCAGAAGTCTGCCATAAAGGCACGCAGCACGCACTAATCCATCACCAACCAGTCATCAATGCTACGCCACCAATCTCCCTCTCCAAGGAAGAGACTGAGCAATACGTGCACGTCCTACTGAAACGAACCACGATGCGTTAATGTGGCCCTCAACATCAGAAAGAACACTGGCTACTGTACTTGGAGGAGCCCATATCAGGTCCATTGGAGAAGAAGCACGTATAGAACGACATTTTTCTCATTGAATAAAATTTTTGTCCAAGAATCTCGCAGAGAGATGAGAAATTGATCACTATAGCGCTCTTGATCAATAAATCTTTTGCAGAAGAAAAAAATATTTTCTTACAAACCGCTCTTCATTCGCCCATTCTGCAAAAAAGTTCATAATCTCGTTTATTGATTTCAGTGCCCAGATGCAAACTGTCGAAGGTCATGTTTCAGTAAATTTACGAGAATGTATGCCAAATACTAAAAAATACGTAGATTGACTGCAAACAATACGGAGCAGTGAAATCTATGAGATGACCAGGAGGAGCAGCGCTACGACAAGCATTCCTTTCGGGCAGCGAAAGTTGGTAAGCGATCTCATTTCAGGATTTGGTCCGTAAGTGTTTGGAAGCTTTCGGAAACCAGAAACTTTGAGAAACGTAATAATAATAATACTGCTTTCCAATTAGTACTACTTATCACAACGACACTGAAGCAGTCTGCTTTATCAGTCGAGGAATCGGCTTTGGAAAGAGACATTCCGGATTTCTTCGGAATTCCGGTTTTCTAGAGAAAGTTGGAAACATATCATTTTGGAAATTCTTTAAGCATATGGCTTTGAGATCTTTCAGACCCCTTCAAATCTTTGTGCAATGCTTCTTTCGCCGTTTGTTTCACTGTTACGTTATATGTCCGTTTACTGTTATGTGTCCTTACACACCCAACTGCTGGAATCCGATGAAGGGTGGTGCTTAAGATGGATTCAAGTTAGTTTGTTAAGTGAAAAACAGAGCACTTTCTGGTCTAAGGTGTATAAGCCAAACACACACTGCTCCTCAATTTCTCGCTTACTTGATTTAGTTGTCAAAAACCCACTTTAAGGATATCTAAGCCGATTAAGCATTAGCCCAATTTAGTGGGGACCCTACGCTATTGCCTGGGCCTGTCGTGTTTGTCATGCTCTCTAAAAACTGTTAACCAGGGCAGACGATTCGAAACAAATGCCATTCTCTTACAGCAGAATACAACACTCGCCTCAAATAGCTGATAGTGCAGTTTCGCGAGCACTGCTGGAAGAAGCGCAGCGTGTTCAACTTACGGGAGTTGGTCAACATCTAAGACACGAAAAGAAGCGGACGACACATTGAGGGGACTAACAGCAGAGAGTGTGAAATCATTAGAACGTCTTTGTTATGTTTTTTTTTATCTCCAGGCAAACAACACTAAACGTTTCCTTCCATGCAATAACACATTTATAACACAATCGTAGCTGACTTTTCGGCAGAATCGCCTTCTTTGGAGCCTGGAAGGGTATACACTGATACGCAACTTACTAGGTCAAACGCTTCAACAGCACAAACTGAGAGATGGGAATCTGCACGATAATTATAAGATCTACGGCTTCTCGAAAAAACCCACAGCCTTTTTTCATGTCTTCCACTGAGGAAGAGCAGCCACTCAGAGTCGCATATGGTTGACGACTACACCACCCGACATCAACGATCGATACGAAGGTACGGGGCAAGATCACGCGTGATTTCGGTGCATTACTCCCTCCATTGTAGGATTTTTGGCATTTATCCAAAAACCCTTGATTGCGCTTTGGTGTTTTAGGATCCCGTGCAAGAGTAGTTGGGCTTATGTCAAAATCGTCTCCGCTATGCTTCTGTATCCTATGCGTCCCTAGTGGCGTGCCTTGTTTTGCTTTTCGTTTGCCATCTAGGTATTCTTTCATGCGGATACATTAAGGTCTGACCGTCTCGCCAATGTATTCGTCTCTGTAGGTACTACAAGTACAAGTGCTATAAATCTGCTGTTTCCCTACATTATTTATTTTACCAACAGGAATAAAGATATTGGCGGCGAATATATTGGCGAAACAGGTAGACCTTAATGTATCCGCATAAAAAAACACCTAGATGGCAAACGAAAATCAAAACAAGGAACGCCATTAGGCACACATAGGATAGAAAACCATAGCGGAGACGATTTTGACATAAGCGCAACTATCTTCGCACGGCATCCTAAAACACCAACGCGCAAACTCTCCGAGGCTTTTTGGATAAATGCCAAAAATCCTACGATAGCAGGGAGGAATCCCCCGAGATCAAGCGTGATTTCTCCCCGTACCTTTGTATCGATCGTTGATGTGGGGTGGTGCAGTCGTCAACCATATACGACTGAGCGGCTGTTCTTCCTCGGTGGAGGGCAGGTGAAAAAAGCGGTGGATTTTTTCGAGAAGCCGTACATCTTATAATTATCGTTCAGATTTTCATCTTTCAGTTTGTGCTGTTGAAGCGTTTGACCTATTGAGTTACGTATTAGTGTACCCTTCCAGACTCTGAAGAAGGCGATTCTGCCGAAACGTGAGCTACGATTGTGTTGTATGTGTGTAATTGTATGGAAGCAAACGTACGCTGTTTAACAACCTCGCGATTGCTGAGAGAGAAAAGGACGAATTCATAATCGAATGCAGAGGTTAATAGAAAGTCCATCCTGGGTACTTTTAAATGTTTCTTCATCCTCGTCTCCTAGGAGACTTTGTAAAAGAATCTGTGCCCGAGTGTTATTGCTAAGTGAGCAGAATTTTTTTTAAGCGATGACCACAAATGCTAAGTAGAATAGTTAACCTATCATCAAGCGTATTTAGCTGCAGTAAGTATTTTTGAACAGAACCGATAAGTAAATAATGCAAGACATACATAACTCTTTCATTGATAAACAAACACGGGGTTGCTGAAAAAACAGTCTGTGGCCCATCTACTCGCATCATCGGCTCCGAGGAAGACGAGGACGTCGAAACGTTAGCCGGATGAGATTTTTTATCAACCCCATGTTAGCTTATCAGTGGAAGAATACAAATTGGTTAGACTTGCCGTGGTTAAAGGAAGGTAGTTTTCTGAAATAAAGGTTCAGCAATCGCGAGGTTGTTAAATCGCATGCGTTTACTTCCATAGGAAAACACAATTGTCATTTTTCGGTGGAATCTAACCGTCTTCTGCTGCAGCTCGTTGTCTTCGTCAAATTCGAAGCTTGGTCATTGCAAATCAGAGTTTCTGTCACTGTTTTACATTATAACTCTGAATTTTGTTAAAATAACGAAAAGCCACCCATGAAGGTGGCCCGCTTAACCCTTTACATAATTTTCATGGTACTGTTAATAAGTAAATAAATAAATAAACAAGTAAATAGACACCGAAAAACTGAAAAAATATAACTGAAAAGAGAAAGGATAAAGGGTCCGCCATCGATCAATCCTTAGGAGACGTAACATGCATTTGACTTCATTAAGCATCGTTAGCGATTGATCAAGTGAGTTCTATTATGGTCCTAGAGAAGTCTAGTACTGATTTGTATTCTTCGGAGGAACCGAAGGTTTGTTGAGCCTGAACGAAGGATAGAACAAACAATTACGTGCGTGTAGCAGAGCACCTCTGATCACTGCGCTACACGTGTCCAGTAACAATAAATAATGTTTCGTTTCTTGCTTCTCAATAACTACTCTATAAAGTTATATAAAAGTTATTAAATAGCAATAATAAGAGGTGTAATAGTAGTTGAGAAAACCTTTTTGTATTAATTAATGAGCATTTTTTGTCGTGTCTTGAGGAGCATTTAGAGCATTGGTTTGAGGTCTCGTGCAGAGCACATTTATTCTTTCGTTCGATTCCGTTCTCCGTACTTATCGAGTCTCCATCGTTCGTTAGTCGTCAAATAGTAGCCAGACTTTTCTGGGAGCACAAAAGCACCGACTCCATTGAGCAGCAAAAGTAATTGTATAACTCATACATGCATACATTTTCCTTCTCTGGTACTTAGTGAAGTCGAACGCATAAAGGACCCCTGAGGGATTGATAAATAACGGATGCTTTTATATGAATGCGTCGTTCTCTTGTTCAGCAATCGCGGGGTTGTTAAGCAGCATACATTTACTTCCATAGAAAACACAATACAATACAACAGAAGCTGACGTTTCGGTAGTATCGTCTCTTTCAGAGCCTGGAAGAGTACACTGATATACAATCTACTAGACCAAACGCTTCAATAACGCTTACAAAAAGACGAAAAACTCTATGTTAATTACATGATCAACAACTTCTCGAAAAAACCCACCGCTTTTTCGTGACTTCCAATGAGGAAGATTAGAACGGCTGATTATAGTCGCATGTGGTTGACGACTGCACCATCCCACATCAAAAATTGATTCGAACATACGGGGTCAGGTTGCGTATGACCTCTGGGCATTCAACCCTGCTATTCATTGTAGGGTTTTGGCATTGATCCAAAAAGCCTGAAGAAGTTTTCGCGCTGTTGTTTTGGACTCCTGTGCAAGGATATTGACTTTTGCTTCAAAATCGTCACCGCTGTGCTTTTGTATCCTATGCGCTTGGTGGGGTGCTTCGTCTTAGTTTTCGTTTGCCATCTAGGTGTTCTTTTATACGGATACACAAAGGTCTGCCCGTTTCGCCAATATATTCGCCGCCAAGATCTTTATTTCTGTTGGTCAAGTAAATAATGAGTGGAAACAGCATATTTTATAGGTGTTGTGGAATAAACGAAGTGTTGTATTGTATTGTGTTTTTCTATGGAAGTAAATATATGCTGTTTAACAACCCCGCGATTGCTGAACAAGAGAACGACGCATTCATATAAAAGCATCCGTTATTTATCAATCCCTCAGGGGTCCTTTATGCGTTCGACTTCACTAAGTACCAGAGAAGGAAAATGTATGCATCTATGAGTTATACAATTACTTTTGCTGCTCAATGGAGTCGGTGCTTTTGTGCTCCCAGAAAAGTCTGGCTACTATTTGACGACTAACGAACGATGGAGACTCGATAAGTACGGAGAACGGAATCGAACGAAAGAATAAATGTGCTCTGCACGAGACCTCAAACCAATGCTCTAAATGCTCCTCAAGACACGACAAAAAATGCTCATTAATTAATACAAAAAGGTTTTCTCAACTACTATTACACCTCTTATTATTGCTATTTAATAACTTTTGTATAACTTTATAGAGTAGTTATTGAAAACCAAGAAACGAAACCATGAAAAAAGGGGTAAAATATTTGTTCAGTGCCAAGGTTAATAGAAACTTGGCCTTAGGAACTAATCGTCTCAATATTGGCGAGGCTATTCGTCAGAGATTTCACTTTTGTGCTGCTTATTTCTTATCGTAACAATTTGAAGTAGCTCTAGTAAAAAGGTGTCACTGTAATTCATCACCGTGTGGTTTGTAGTGTACTTATTTATGGCCAAGGGCGCGTGCGGCGCAGTAGCCGGAGACACCATGTGACACACATATGGAATCGATCCCCGTGCCCATGGTCCACCAAGCCTTCTATCTCTCCGGGGTTGCAAACTGGTACCAGACTTGTCTGAGAGGATAGAAGCACTGGCTCGATACACCCAAACGATGTTTAATGAAGTCGAATACATGGCGCATTCCTTAGGGACTGATCAACGCTGAGAGCTTTACCCTTTTTTATTTATTTGTGGCTACGGAATTTGATCAAAAATACTTTTTCGCGGCTAATAAAAGCGCGAATGCAGCTGTTCTTGGTTCATTCAGCGCGATTTCGTCTTCATATTCAGTGCAACTAATAAGAATAATGCGACTTTGGATTTTATTCCATCCATTGGCCATTCTTAGTCTTTAACTTCTGACTCGACAGGCCGTTCTTTTAGTTCTGCGTGGCCAGCGGTGACACCAGCTTACGAATTTCGTATTCCATCAGACCACTACATCGTTCGACTTATGCGACTCGTCACTTATCACTAGCTCCTATGCGAATCGTCTTCGTTTCCTTTTGTTTCGAACGTTCTCGTAATTGGGACATTATCTCCTTTGTTTCACTTTGATGAGTTTTCCGTAGCGCTGCATTCGTCGGAATTTGTGCCTTTCACTATCATTAGGATTACCTTATCAGAACGCTTGGTTAATGCTCATTTTGAACGTATTGCTTAATTCTACTGTGTTATTCCAATAATCCTCCTTCCGAATTCACTTCAGAAATGCTTTTCTTAACCTTGGTGCTGGCAGAAATTTCGGGCAGCATGGCTGCAAGCTGTGGTGGATCAGCAATACCATTCCGATTCGAGGTGATGCCTTTTTTATTCGATTCAATTACACTGCGAATAGCTTGAAAGGTAACCTGTAGAAGAGGTTCTTGAAGTATAGGTATGATCTAGGTATTGCCATCTGGTGCCCCAGTACTTGGTTGCGCTTCTCCTTCATGTTTTGGAGGTGGCCAAGGTGGATCGAATGTTGTTCAAGACTTTGCTTTCCAGGTTTATTCCAGCTTTCTTGCTTCTGTAATTGTTTCTGTTATGTTTATAATCTTCCGATATCTATATTTGCATACCTATTTACAGCCTGGTCCTGATGGTGAAGATGGATTCGTCCGTGAAAGCGATCTACAGCGAACAAGACCCCGGTCCAGTTCTGCTCCGGCTCAGCAAGCTGACTGCCCTTCGGGATTTGATTCGCAATCCTGCACAAACGATAGATCTTGGGTTGGTGGATTCCTAGCGAGTCCTGATGGAAGGTGAGTGGGCCGTGACAAAGAATTTTTGCTTAACTTCATAAGTCAGAATTCATCATTCAAATCGAAAATTATTCTTAGAAATCATAGGTCACTTTTGATGTGATGAACCATTCCTATACGGTGCCTAGAGCTGAAGACAGCAAGATATAAAATGCTTAGTGTCCAATCGTTTACCCCAGTTACAATACAAAAGTGTTTATGAAATCTATAAACAACCGGGAAGCGTTAACACCGTTATGAGTTGGAAAGAATACACGCCCAATTTAGCCTCCGTCTGCAGTGCTGCTCATATGACGGTCTGCGCTTTGCCGAAGAAGTTGGTCGTCCTGTAGTTCACAGCGGGGAAGTGTATAGTGGTGGTAACTCGACTTACTGTTTACTTTTGAAAACCGATGTTTTTAGTATGGATGAAATTTCATGGTGTTAAAAAGTGGCTTTATAACTAATCAATTCGTTTTATATTTTGCTTAGGAGAAGTTCTTCGGGATGGACGACAGACTGGTTTTGACCTTATTTCTAACGTGAATAAGATATATTCCAATGATGGGAGGTGAGTTCTTTCCACAGCCTGCTTGTTGCCGCACATTGTTTGAAAACACTGGAGAGAATGACAAAATAAATGCCTTGAGTGGATATTTTCTGATAGATTGATATTTATTTGAGTTCGCAACTAACTTACAGCTTTTGCAGTCAAGCAATTCACGAACTTTACCACGAAGCTTTTAGCGCAGGCAAAACTCAAAGACAGATGCGCGTGTAGCGCAGTGGTCGGAGGCGCCCTGCAACACGCATAGGATCGATCCCCACGCCCTCGGCTCACCGAGCCTTTCATCCCTCCGAGGTCGAGATTTTCTACTAGACGTATCTGGAAGGATAACAACAAGGAGTTGATACATCGACAGGCGAATGCGAGTCATTGTAAAGGCGAGACATGATACATCGGTGAAACAGCGGATTTATCGTTATCACTTTATGTTTCGAACTCATCTTCAACTTAACCATTTCCAATACAGAGGGGCGACATTGTAAAATCTAACCTCGTCTCTTCTTAACTCAACTGTTTTTTATGTAAACCTAAAGTTGTTTCGCATGAAAATACACGGCTATTAATCCAATCGACAAGAGAAAGCAAACGTTTTCAAATTTCCTACCGCTGATCCAGTAGTTAGCGCATAGTGTGAAAGCGTTTTGTTAATCTATCATGAAAACGAAAACTTCTTCCCTCACACCGAGACAAAGGAAAAGGCAGCACCAGGGAAAAAAATGGATTAAATTACTATGATTCCGAAAATAAATAGAGAGCAATCGTTTTCAGTGCCGCTTATGAGCTAACAGTTGTTCGAATGAACTGCCTTCCGGATCCAGTGGAGACTACAAACGAAGGTAATAAAAAACCAAATGCTTCTCTAACTTCTATGACTTATGATTTTTACTTGCTTTCACAAAGTCTTGTTTCTTCCTTCTTCTCGGGTACAAAGCTACGCGCGATTTTTTCTTTTTTCTTTCTTTCTTACTCACGTGATTTTTCGTTTTCTTTTTTTGCTTCTTTTACTAACTAAACGTAGCCGTTTGACAACGTAACGTTTTTTAAAATCTTTTCGGAGACGAAAGATGGGTCTTAGAGAGCTTAATACTTATTGTTGGAAACATTTCAAAACCCACTATTTGTGTCGTGACTGCAGTCGCCATGGATCCCGACGAAATTACGCGAATCCTCGACAAGGTCGGCGACGTGCGTGCCCAGGAAGCGAACGCTTATCCGGTGCAGGAGGACCAGACCGACGAATTTGTTCAGGTTCTTCTTAATCCCTAGTCTACAACAGTTTTTCCACTGTTCCAACGAACACCTTTGTTTGTAGGTTGGTGAGGAGGTGATTCCCGTCACTTCGCCAGGGTTCTACTATCCAGTTGCATCAGGTGTGGCACTATGCTTCACCGGTGATACTGAAGTGGAGACACCATCAGGCCGAAGACGAATGGACCAATTGAGAATTGGTGATCTTGTGCTCACTGCCGAGCAGAATTTGGTTCGTGGCTTTGTTCTTCGCTGTAGTTAGGTGAAAGATGATGTAACGTTTTACATTCGTTCCATTTGTAAAAGTTGAGTAGAACGATCATTAAAAAAGAATAACTGCTGCAAATCAGAATGATTAGGTAAGGATTCTGTCGGAAGAAGGAAAACCGTTAGTGGTCTGCCCATCCCGAAAAAAAACCTTCATAGTCATTCTTACAGGAAGAAACAGCGGTAGAGAAAGAAAAAAAGTAAAAAGGAAAAAGAAAAAAGTCATGATAAAAAAGGGCTTATCACGATTGTGAATGTAGTACCTCTCCGAGGATAATTAGAATTACCCAAGCGTACCATTCCACTATCTCCTATAAGTCCTCATTCATCCGACCATTTAGGCGATGTATTTTAACTCGTTTTCATTGGTACATTCGTGACCACACGTAGTTTCATGTGCCAGCGGCACGGGACAACTTAATTCTTCTCTTAGCACAGTGTATATTGAATCGAATGCACGCGGTTCAGCACTATCCTTTTTTCTTCGCTCAATAATTCCGTTCTTTCACGCATGTTTTTGCTTCTTCCTGCATATATTTCTTCACATTTTTCTGATGGAAACATTCCCACCAGCCATGCAACCATGATGGTGTTAAGCTTTGGTAGTCTATATGATAACATATTTTGGAAAAACTACCGAGCAGGTTATTCGGAAGCCGAGTTTTTCTCAGTCCATAGTCCTTGAGTACGTGAGAGTTTGTCAAACATATGAAAGATATTTTGTCTTTCATGCGTTTCTATCTTGTGTTTCTAAAGCTTATGTATGTATGTAAGTATGTATGTATGTATGTATGTATGTATGTATGTATGTATGTATGTATGTGTGTATGTATGTATGTTACGTATGTATGTATGTATGTATGTATATATATATATGTATATATCTAATAATTGTAATGCGGACGAAGCAGTTGCCCTAATTTACAATACATCTAAACCATCAGCTAGCCCGATTGCTCAATGAGTTCGTTCTTCAAAATAGGAGCCTCTAAAAAATGCGGCCAAATGAATATATTGTTGGCTGCAGAGGTCTGGCATTTAATCGTGATAGATTAGGTATAAAGGATAAAAAAATAAAGCTCTCGGCATTGATCAATCCCTAAGGGGTGCGCCTTGCATTCGACTTCATTAAGTATCGTTGGAAGTGATTGAACGCATATCTGGCCTTTACACTGACTCGTGGTGGCCTACTGATGTATCGGGCCAGTGATGCTATCCTCCCAGATAAGTCTGATACCAATTTGCCGACCCCGGAGGGATGGAAGGCTTGGCGAGCCATGAGGGCGGAGATCGATTCCTCGTGTGTGTCGAAGTGGCGCCTCCAACCACTGCGCCACACTTGCCCGGTAGAGTAAATAGGCCCGATATTCAGCAGTAATGACAAAATCTGCACAAATCGGAAGGAACACCTGCTATCCAGATCCAAATTACACACCTAACATGCCCGGAAAGAACAGTGCCTGCTTTCAGATTGGCCATGAGAAAGTCATCTGCAACATCCACTCTGGTCATCTCTTCAACACCCTCGTTCTTCTGCCCCTACATTAAATGCGGAAGGATGGATATACCGCGCTGGTAGCTCTTTGCTTCCAAGTCCGATATGCTATTTCATCAGTGAAGAGCTGTGCAATACTCTTCCCGGAAATGTGAGGCGTTCGTGCTTATTTTAAAAAAGGATCTTTCAAGAAGTATATAACATCCATAGAACCAGAATCTGACTAGTCCACATCAGTATAACATGGGACACATGAGAGGGGTTCGGTATGTCATCACTATCTTTCCATAATAATTTGCACCCACAAGGCTGCTTGCGACATGGGCATAAATATCAATGGCTGGCGGTAACACCATATTCGCTTTGCCGGATGACATCATTCATTTAACCAGTTATAGCTTCCCGTTTCTCACAACACCTATAGATCGATTAAATCACAAGAAGACGATGCTTATGAAAAATAGTTTTTTTTCACAATCCCCATTCACGTTTGATAGAACGAGAATTTCTGCATACTCCAGCCGAATTCACCTGGTTCGCAGAAGTCACATGGCGAAAGGTTTAGCTCCACTACTACGCATGAGGAAACCAGCGTGACAAGCTTTTAAGAGCACCAGAGACCTAAAGAGGAGGAAAGCGAACACTCGACTCTGTGTGCACTTTTTCGCCTTTCCGATTCTTTGTGCACTGGCGCAATCGCTACGTAACTAAATTGAATGATACTGACCCAGTGATACTGAACGAGGTGTGCGAGACAGGGGAAGTATCCACAGTCGCAAACGTGAGAGACGGATTCTGGACCGCCTACATTAACGATCAAAGATCCGAGTCACTGCCATATTGACCAAAACGTCGAGTACCAGATGGGAAGGGCACGTGATTTGCCTTAACGACAACCAGTGGGCAAAAGCCATTGGTTCCCACGGGATATTATGCACACAACGGAAACAGCAACACTCCGATGTCTAGAATTTTTCGCGGAAATCCTAGAAGAAAAATTGTGTGCTCAACTAGTCCTATAAGCTAGCAGTATCCCCGGTGAACGCTCTTGCGCGAAACAAGGACAGGTAGGGGATTTACAGTAAGTCAAGTGGGGGTGGTGAGATGTTGTTGGCAAGGCTGTTAAGGTTCTAGATCCCTCCTTCTTAATTAGTAAACAGTAAAGTTATTTTTTTGATTTTTTTTTTGTTTTACATGACCCCTCTTCTGGTCTACCCTGCGGATTTCTGCACTTCTCGCATTCGATTCTTTTTCTTGGAATTCATCTTCCACAAACGTCCTCAAACTGCGGGTTCGACTGTTGATTTCGTTTTCTTTATAAGTTTCGTGGAATACTGGTCTAGTCGATTGTCCTTACAATCTTGGAGATAGTCGAGTAAACGCGTTGCCATGTGTTTGGAGAGCGTTAAGAAGGGACTTGAACCAGCACCCTGCCTTTTGATGGACTGCATTGCTAACCACTTACACTACCACAGTTTCTGCAAGGCGTTCGTCTTCTTAGTTCCGTCATCGTTCTTCTTTAATTTATTGCGAATAGTTCTGCGTTCCGTTAAAATATAGCAACTCTACGCTTTCATCAAAGCATCTAGTCTAAGTATAAAACTCAGTTCATTTCAGAAAAGCGCTGTTTAAGTACGGCAGAATGTTCTGGGCTCCCACAACGATTCATGACAACATAGTAACGATTTAACTATTACACTAAAACATTTAATAGAGCATGATCAGACGACCTTTGGAAGCAGCAAGGACCAACGTGCCATATTGAGAAGCTCCTTGGAGTTGTCTTAAATAGTTACTCTAAGGCGTTTATCACTGCCTTGTTGATTTTCGATTTCTTCTAGGACAAAGATTTCGAATTTTTAAAGTTGTTCGTCAACGGTGATATTTTTAAATATTGTGCTAATGTAATTATGTAAGTGATGTTGGTGAAATTTTTCCAGACCATGTTCACGCCCGTGATTTCGTTCCTTCATCGTCTTCCGGATACGGTAGCGTCCTTTATAAAGGTGCAAACAGAAGACAGGGAACTCAAACTCACACCGCAGCATTTCATTTATAAGGTCAGACAACACTTAAACTTCAAAAGCGTCGTTATCGAAGCTTTTTGAATCGGGCTCATTTATACTTGGGCAAAATTTATCGGACCTGTGGTCTTTCTTCATCTGAAAGAGGAAAGTTGTTCTCTAAGACGAATAAAAAGTGTAAATTTTTTTAATGAGCTAAAGGTCTTGCTGATCATTGCTGACCAATCCACGTTTACAAGGTGCAGTTTTTCGTATGTATAAATAAACGAATCCTATGAGAGTTTCAAACTATTCAGCTTCTTTAGAATTGAGAAATTCTTGGCAAACTTTAAGGAAAACCCTTTTTTAAATATAATACGTTGTTCGGAAACTAGTAGCCGATTTAAACCTGCAAGTTCAAAGTGGCACATCTCAGCTGAAAATTGACCTTATTATTCTTATAAAGCCATTATAAAAAGAATAAAGCTCTCAGCGTTGACCAATCCCTATCCTCTCAAACAAATCTAGTATCAATTTGCTAACCCCAGAGTGATGGAAGGCTCGGTGGGCCATAGGCGCGGAGGTCGATTCCACGTGTATGTTGCAGGGCCCCTACGACCACTGCGTCACACGCAGCCTCAAGTCCATTATAATCTGCGTATATTGTCCAACAAGAAACATCTTTCTGCATACCAGTTGCATAAAGTACTAAACTTCTGTGGGGCGATGAAATATCGAGGTGCTTGAGGAAGTGGTAGTTGGCAGGGTTGGCCAACTTGTTGAATGAGGCAAAGATTCGTGGCCTACCTCATTCAATCCGTACAGGATCGCATGCATGACTCGTGGCTGCGCGTTATGATGAGAAGAGTTCGCTCTTATTTAGCAATATGGTAATGATCCGCTGAAGTTTCCGGTGCATTTCGTCGACTTGCAGACTTGTTTCTCCACCGTAACCTTTTCATTCGTATTCAGGCGCTATGATGGATAAAACCAGCAGCATACAATGAAACGGTCAAGTTGGCCTTTGGTACTGTTTCGGCTTTAGAGTGTGCTGCAGTGTTTTAATGCAGTTTGAGGTGCTATCGTTGGCAGGTGTCATGTGGGATCATTTTCGCTCCACATATCACAATATCGTCGAGAAGCGGGTCTTCCCGGCTCTCGACAACAACACGTCAAAACGGCAATTTCTTTGATGGTATTCAATTCGCGCGGTATCCATTTGTCAAGCTTCTTCAACTTTCTAGTTAGTTTCAAAGTTCCAAGACAACTAAGTCTAGCAGCTGTGCGTCTATTTATTTCAACCAAAGGATTCAGTTCACCATCGCCAATAACAGAAAGACATCCGCGACCTTCAAGGCCGAAACCCTCACGACAAACTTTCCAAGGCAACTTTGCAATGGGTACGTCCGGGTTTCTGCTTTGACAACTGAAATTCCAATCTTTGAAATCCGTCAAAGACACAACGAATGCCGCAATTCAATTATTCTTTTTTTTATTTTATACGACCCATATCCACGTCTACTGTGCGGATTCCGACACTTCTTGCATTCGAATCGTATCCTCGCATCCATCATTATTGGTGATCTCCAACACTTTACATGTGGCTTCAACTGCTGATAGAGGAGTTTCCTTTCATCGCGAATGCCGTTGAATACTGGTCGAGTCGATTCGCTTTGGAGTCCTAAGATACACTGGCTAGAGTGTTATCACTTGGATTGGAAAGAGTGAACTTTTTTCAGACTAGTCCATAGGGATGAGAGACTTGGCGAGGCTGAGGCGGCATCGGACAAGTACCGCGCTTGTGATGCAGAATGAAAATATATAAAACGGGCTTTGTAATGGTATATAATATTACAGTGTTCGGAAGGAAACTTGCTAAAACATGCATGAGGAAAACTAAGTTGGAAATCCGGTATTAATCTAAAGAAAAAACCTAATTAAAGCGAATTTCCTGAAAGAGCCGTAAAAGAGACTCCTTGTATAAATGAAGAATCTTTCTTTTGACCCTTTTATGCTGGTCATATTAGCACTAAAACTGCAATGATAGTATGATTAATTTAGTACGATCATTCACGAGTTACTGGAGTTCATTCAGCTTGGAAGTAAATATAATGAGCGAAAAGCGTTGATGAATCGGACGGTGATTCTCCAAGCGTCGACTCCACTAAGCATCGTAGATGTGACTGAATGCATATTTGGTCTTCATTGTGAGAGACTACAGAATAGTATGTCTTATTTTTTCCCCAGGAAGAAATCTGGTACCAGTATGTAACTTTGCGCTGATGGAGGTATTTCATGGCACAGGGGCGTGTTCACCAAACGACCATGTGCTTCGCAGTGCAGCTCTAATCACTTAAACATTATGACCACTATACTCTTAACCAAAAGCTGTAGACACTTGGATGCGCAAAGCGTAACAGAACTGTCGGTAATAGCGATTGGATGGTAATTGAGTGAAAAACTCCCCACCGAATAGAGCACTTTAGTTAGAACTTATGAAGAAACCATCTATTCAAGCCTACAATGAGCTGCCTTTCCAGATTGCCTGTAATGAAGTCCAACCCAGTATCGAAATGGTGTATGCCAAGGATTTAAGGGCAGGCGACTGTCTTTATAAAGTGGAAGGAAACGGTGAGCTTCATGACGCTTCTTGCCTTTTGCAGTCTTTTTCTAATGAGAAACTATTGTGCTTGAAACAGTTCCCAAGATCGACTTTCTATTAACCTCAGCATCGGATTATGAATTCGTCCTTTTCTCTCTCAGCAATCGCGAGGCTGTTAAACAGCATATGCTTACTTCCATACAATAACACATACAACACAACCGTAGCTGACGTTTCGGCAGAATCGCCTTCTTCAGAGCCTGGAAGGGTACATAAATACGTAACTCAGTAAGTCGAACGCTTCAACAGCACAAACTGAAGGATGAAAATCTGCACGATAATTATAAGATCTACGGCTTCTCGAAAAAACCCACCGCTTTTTTCACCTGTCTTCCACTGAGGAAGAACAGCCGCTCAGAGTCGCATATGGTTGACGACGACACTACCCCAAATCAACGATCGATACGAAGGTACAGGGTAAGATCACGTGTGATTTTGGGGCATTACTCTCTCCTATTCATTGTATGATTTTTGGCATTTATCCAGAAAGCCTCGATTGCGCGTTGGTGTTTTAGGATCCCGTGCAAGAGTAGTTGGGCTTATGTCAAAATCGTCTCCGCTATGCTTTTGTACCCAATGCGTCCCTAGTGGCGTGCCTTGCTTTGATTTTCGTTTGCCATCTAGGTGTTTTTTTATGCGGATACATTAAGGTGTACCTGTTTTGCCAATATCTTCATTTGTGTTGGTAAAGTAAATAATGAGGGGAAACAGCAGATTTTATAGATGTTGTGGAATAAACGAATAGCAGCAAGTACTAGTGCTTGTACTTGTAGTACTTACGGAGACGAATATATTGGCGAGGCGGTCAGACCTTAATGCATCCGCATAAAAGAATACCTAGATGGCAAACGAAAAACAAAACAAGGCACGCCACTAGGCACACATAGGATAGAAAACCATAGCGGAGACGATTTTGACACAAGCGCAACTATCCTCGCACGGGATCCTAAAACACCAATGCTCAAACTCTCCGAGGCTTTTTGGATAAATGCCAAAAATCCTACGATGAATAGCAGGGAGGAATCCCCCGAGATCAAGCGTGATTTCTCCCCGTACCTTTGTATCGATCGTTGATGTGGGGTGGTGCAGTCGTCAACCATATACGACTGAGCGGCTGTTCTTCCTCGGTGGAGGACAGGTGAAAAAAGCGGTGGATTTTTTCGAGAAGCCGTAGATCTTATAATTATCGTGCAGATTTTCATCTTTCAGTTTGTGCTGTTGAAGCGTTTGACCTATTGAGTTACGTATTAGTGTACCCTTCCAGACTCTGAAGAAGGCGATTCTGCCGAAACGTGAGCTACGATTGTTGTAAGTGTGTTATTGTATGGAAGCAAACATGCGCTGTTTAACAACCTCGCGATTGCTGAGGGAGAAAACGACGCATAGTGCTTGACTCATTTACAAAAGCGCTAATCCATTTATTGATGCCTCTCAATTTCTTTAAATGAGCAGCAGTTCCTGCTAATGACTAATAAAATACCGTATAGGACTAGTGGTGACAAAATTGGAGAATATGTCATCCATGCCTCCCAACGATTTGCTGCCGCATCGTGGCTCGGAGGTGTTGCTGGGCGTTCGGCTGCGATGTACGGTTGGGGCAGGACTTCCCAAGCTGAGGAGTAGTCTGCGTTTCAATCAGGAAGCCCAGATGAGAGTAAACCGACACCAACATCCAGTACCATCCCGGTGTCAAACTAGTCCTATGGTGGCAAATCTCCCTCTGAATTACATGAGCGATAACTGCCTCTGGTAGTGACGACCTGGTGTGGACCTTGGTCAAGCTGACCTCAGGACTCCAGAGAAACACAATGGCTAAACTAGCAAAACTCCGAAAAATGGAGAATATGCTGGAACCTGCATAACCAGTGTGGGCGGGCTGTCGAAGTAAGTAATTATTTCGTCCACAGATGTCTTGAGCACTATGAGAACAATAAACTGCGTCAAAACTTACTTATTGATTTCACTCTTTTTGTTTGTTCAATCGTGTGCTCGAAGAACTCGAACGAGACAGCAGATGAAAAACAAAATGTGAAAGCTAAATGAAATGAAATGTGGTAGTTTCAGCTTTACAAAAGACATATATCGATGCAATTTCTGTGGTTCATCAGCGAGGAGTGTACGCTCCGATGAGCCGTGCAGGTCATCTGTTGGCCAACGATATTTACGTCTCCTGCCATAACGTCGTCAAGACCAGTACGCTGTCACACACATTCCTTGAATTCGTCACTTACGTGCAGACGAAGGTACGAACCACCGTCTTTTATCATGTTTTTTGATAGTATGATTTCATATTCGATAGCAAGTGCTCGTCTTCTTTGTCAAATTTCGCCTGTCCTGTGCAAGACATTACTCCGATCGTCAAGTAGCTCGAGTGGATGCCAACGAGCTCGCCATTCGTCTCATCATACTTTACTAACGTGTTTTTTCATTGTTGAGATACATTACAGGAATTCTTGTTCTGGGTCTTCACAACGTAGTCTGACCATCGGTGGCTCTTCTTGTTTTGAGTATGATTTGTCGTGGTACCCTATTGCTAACGGCTAGAATTGAATGACTGTTTTTTGTTGACACGCGAGGTCTCCGGTCGATAACTGAACTCCGAGCTCGCGCTCTCATCCGCACCAAATGAGGCACTCCTAACATGATCTTCTTGACAGCGCTGGTGATACTATCGGTCCTTGCTGTTACCCAGATCCCATCAAATTTCCGAGGCATGCGTTGTGGTATGTAGGGAGTACTCTGAAGTAGAAAACGTCCGTGTTGTATAGAATATTCTCGCTTTCTTTAAATTTATTTAGAGCTTTTGAACGAATTCGTTCAGTAGATCACTAATGAGGTATCAGGAAGGAATTCTTTTTTCATGAACGTAGTGGATGGCCATTGTTTCTATGTACGAGGCGATATCTTTGGTCTTGGTCACTTCAATGACTTTTCTAGTCTTTTTAGCTTAAAACTGAAGCTTCCAATGCTTATACAGAGGTGTGGTTCTCTGGTGCAGTTTACTCATACCACATTAGACTAATAATCTTAAGCGGCTATACGTTCTGCTCAATTCTTCTTTGTTGGGGACTATTTCATAGTGCGTAGAAACCATTTTATTTCATCGCTTTGAAGAAGAGATCCTCACGAGTATCTTGTGGTTTCCTGCCATAGAGACTGGACATACTTGACCTTCGTTTGCCGTGTTCTCTTGATGTAGATGTGAGTTCTAATGGAGTGTTAAACAACCTCCTATCTTCACTTCATGCGCTTGCCATTCCTTTGATTTCAATGGTTTTATTTCACATCATTTTATTAGATCGAGATTCAGAATGCAATCTCCATCAATGCAAAAAAAGTGTGAACTCAGGTAAGAGTACGTCTAGGTAGAAACAAGGTTTGCGTCGATCAAACACAGTGGGCACAGGAACATCCAGCCAATGAATGTGCATATGTCTCAGAGAAAATATTACAACCCGCGATTCTTCAGAATCTTAGAATCTATCTGCCACCTGCTAAAGCGCTACCCAACCTTCTGACAGGCTACCTCAAAGATATATTACTAATTTAATGCAATGCGATCATGTGAAAGGTGCGGAAGTTCATTCACAAAAGAGCTGAAAATTTAACACGTGTGAGCATTCATGTACATGGTTTGGACCCCATTACCTCTCTTACTGAGTACCAAAGTATTACAATTACTGAGCTGATAAATAAATACAGGCATTTAAAGGATAGTGAACTGTGGAGAATAAGAATTTCTGTGCTCAAACTCACTTTACCATTCCAGATCCGATCGGTGTTCGGTGGCTCTGAGGATGGCCACCTTCCCACGACTGCCGAGTTCTTCTTGAATATCATTGATTTTATCATTCCAATAAATAACAAAGTGGAACTGTAGCTGTCATCCTATCCAGTTCGCAATAAGGTCTTCATCCCTACAATGGCGAGCTGAAGCCGTGAACTAAAGAAAAGGAAACCTTGTTATGTTAATGTTTCAGTGAAACACCTAATAAGACTTGTGTCGAATCTTATACTACACTGTTAATGAGCAAAATGTTCGTGCAGTGTAAAAATTAATAAATAAATATTATTCATATTTTGGAACTGCCTAGTTAATTTTCTACAGAACTTGCAGTTTATACTTTCGCGAATTTCTACAGATTTCAGTGCTTTTTTTCTACTTCAACAAACACTAAACACTTTACCAAATCCTGATGACGATATCGCCCTCAGTGGTGGATTTTTCGTCTAGATAAGGATAAAAAGGGATAAAGCTCTCGGCGTTGATAAATTCCTGAGGGATGCTCGATGCATTCGATTTCATTAGGCATCGTTTGGAGATGAATGAGTGCATATCTGGCCTTTACAATGACACGCAGTAACCTACCGATGCATCAAGCCAGTGCCGCTATCCCCCCATGCAAATCTGGTACCAATTTGCTAACCTCTGATGGATGGAATGCTTGGTGGGCCATGGGAACGGGCATCGATTCCACGTGTTTGTTCCAGGGCGTCTTCGAACACTGCACCACACGCGCCCTTTTGGTCTAAATAGGAGCTTAAAATGGCTTCTTTACTTTAGTGAATCGACCACTACATCCAATTTGAATGACAATGGTTATAACGTAGAATTTCGTTAGGGACGATGATTGTGCAGTTACTTCCCATTTAACCACTGATGACTATGCTTTCTGCAGAAGTAGTATAGCTTAGAAGATGAGCACTTTTAAGAGTTTCGGTCCTTTTTTCGCCTCGAAAAACTGAACGGCCAACATGGAGAGCTTTCGATTCTCGTCTTCTGCAGGCAGCGGTTCCTTCTTCAGAGCTCAATGACAGGTGATCGTGCTTAAATAGTACTTGCATAATGTCATATTCAGTCGGCGAAAAACATGTTTTTCGAAGACTGTTTCACTCTCAAAGTACTTGTAAGTGAAGTCATTTAAATTATCCAGTCATTTTTAATCATGGAAATGAAACGATAAGCGAAATGAACATTGTGCATATTTCCTCAATAGATATAAGACCCCTTGATTAAAGGGATTCTTTAAATTAATGCGCGCACTGCATGTCAACTTAAACGCCTGTGATCACGCAACAAGCGTGACGATCGTGCTGTGGCCCAGATTCTCGGCCTTCGTTCGGCCGTTACTGGGTCGGACTCAAGGACGCTGGCCGATAAGACCCCGACTCACGCTCTTCTTCACCCACATCACTATAATGCTCTTTTCTCAGCAGAACTCAACTACTTTTGACATTTCATTGAATTCTGCTTGTATAACTTTTATTCGTCAAAAATTCCCCCTTATAGATAAAACTGAACTGACTTTCGGTTTCGCCCAAAATCTATAGCTCTCGTGTGCAATACATTTCACTAGCCCTTACTGACCTATTTTTTTTTCGTTTTGAGTTACCAAATAAATATGAAACATGACTGAGAGGGACCTGCACAGCTTTCTCTATGGTGATTTTCAAAACTCTAGAATAAAAAAGAGTATATATTTAAGACTGTGAGAAAAACGATAGGGCTATAATATGAAGAAAATAGAAAACGCAAAAAATTAACGAACTTTAAGAAAACTGGTAGATTTCGCAAGATGTCTCTTTCCATCCTCGCTTTTCTAGAGGTGTCAATGATACACTGATAATCACTCTCATTGCCTTCTTAGGTATAAAAGACAAGGATTGGTTCTGTTAAATCAATCTCATTCGAAAAATATTAGATCTGTAAGAAAGAACACTCCTTTGCTCGTAAACGTCTCTACCCCAATTTCCTACTCGGCAAGATGCAGGGCTGTCTGCGTTATTGCGCAGAAGTCTCTCGACTAAACTACGTGACCATCCCTTTAAACATGACGAAGAGTCTCTACAGTTGGTGATACTGAATCACTTATTTTCCAGATGCTTCGGTTAACTGTTATATCCATATCTTTATTCTTACCAATGGTTGCTCCTAAACGACCTATCAACGGAACTCATTGTTCAAAGAGTCAGGTAAACAGTGACAAAAACATCTCTCGCTACTCCCAAGCGCATTGTAAATGGTGTGAAGCAGTGATTTCAAATAGACCTTTAGAAACCTTTGTTTGGTTAGTGTTTACGTACTGTGAACAAGCATGCGAATGTCTTCACAACCTATCGGAAAAATGTAATTTTTGGTTGTTGTTGGTTCCGAAATTTTGACACCAGTTGTGGAAGGAAAGTTCTTCTTGGCCCTTATCACTACATACCAAGTACGATCGTTTCGATAGTAGACTTATCCGCAATAAATTAAAAAGCATTTGCTCAAATTTACCTATTAGTCACCGCGGGTGTGTAAATCGCAACAAATCTCTATCCAGACGACTGACATGTGCACTGAGAGTTCGAACTGGGTGGAAACGTCGCTTAGAAATTTTAGATTAGAAAATCATAAAGCACCATATTTTCTGAGCATTTTATAAATACAGGTTATCTCCCGTATGACGGTGTTCGAGGATGGAACTCTTGAGGCCGAGTGCGGGCCCGTTCCGTGTGGAGAGGTTGGACGTCGTTGCATTGACGACCAGACGGGCTGTCGTGCTGACACTGACGTATTCTCGGGAATGCGGTGGGCTCCAAATGGTCAGAGGTTAGTAACTGGTTATTCTTTTATAAGAAAGGGATAAACGAAAAAATAGCGCCGGTAGCAGTTGATAGCTGAAGGGAAGAGAGTTTTAGATGTAATTCTTGCGATTTAAGTGAAATTATGCACCACTGTCTCTAAGCTCACTACGACGTGGGTTATCGTAGTTCTGTTGTCTAATGAAAATTCGTCTAGATGGAACCGGATCTTCGTAACAAAAAACATATAAAGTTTTCCTAGATTTTTATTAGGTACAAAATTACCCCACGGATCTCCCTCATATGAGGGATCGCGAGCAGATTAGTCGCGAAGCTACGTGAGGCGTCCCCAGGTGGCGGATAGGGGTGAGTCGCAGACCAGAAGCGACCTTTGCTTCACTGAGACTACGAGTGGGTGGATCCAGGGGATGAACTCCCTGTTTCTGCTGCGCTGATTTGGCACATACTTTCTGTATTTCCTAGGTGTATTCATGCATGCGTGTGTGGGTGCGTTCTCGCTTACGCGGATTGTATTCTACGAGTCAATTCGGCTAAAAGCTTGCAATCAAGTGACAGGGTAGTATATCGGAGGCGGTTAGGAGTCGCCTTCAACAAATAAGCTCCATGTCCACTCTAGGAGAGCCTGGCAAGCTATACGTAGGTATCAAAATACTAAACACAGTAAAAAAAAAACGGGCCTCATTTCCCTGACCGGGAAAGAGCTCGTAATTTCACAGCGTTGGGTAGGACGAGTACGGAGAAGCTGCTAAAATCTCAGGGTTAATGGTAGCTGCCTAGATCACGAAGAACTATAGTGACGATCTGTACCTACAATACTCGTATACTTGCATCCGAGTCTTCGATAGAGGACTTGTCCATGCAAAGAAGAAGGATAAGGTACGACGTCATCGGTCTGGCCGTGACGAGACGACGCCACCCATTCAACGCCGTTTATGACACCGTAGAAGAACTGTTCCTCGGAACATGCGACAGTAGAGCAGCCAGCGGGGTCGCGTTCACGGAGTTTGTCCATGAACACCGATTCATTCGAACACCTTACAACCCGAATCGGACGTTTACGAATAAAAAGATGTGGATCAATACCGGCTTTGACAGTCTTCGTTGTTTACGCGCCGACATCAAACTATGACGAAGAAGAAGTCGAAGTGTTCTACATGGACATGGAGAAGTTCTACAGAGAATACCACACATTCTTCAAGGTCATCATTGGAGATTTCGACGACAAGATTGGACCAAGAAGAAGGTCTGAAGAACGTCACATTGAGACCCACGGATTAGAATGGAACGAACAGAGTCAGCGGCTGTCTGAGTTTACCGTGGCGACCAAGACAATCCATGGTGACTCGCAATTCCAGAAGCCCCCACCCTCAACGTTGGACGTGAGAGTCTCCCAATGGAGAGTGCCATAACGAAATAGACCACATCATAGTAAAGTTTTGCCTAACTAATATCGCTGTTCTGTTGTCCCAAAATTCTACACGGGATCAGACCATCGCGTCCTTTGTACAAGATTCTATTTTTCGTGGAAAGGAGAAGAAACCGCTAAATTCAAAAATCGAAGTCCCAGAACCACCGTAAACTGAGACTTATTCAATTCATTAGTCAGCTGTTGGAAAGATGCCGTTGTCGACAGAAACACTCGAGCTGATACGCCAGCGTGGAATCGTACGAGCTGCAGGCAACCGCGAGCTAACGTCCGAGTTTGCAAAACTATGCAGACAGACGACAAAAGAAGATCGTAAAGGGAAAAGTAGTAATGGTCAAAGCTGCAGATGCTGGAAAAAGCATTCACAAAGCCCACCGATGCTTCGCCAACTACAAGACCAAAATGTCTGCACTCCGGCGGCCGGACGGAACAGTTACAACGTCCAGAAAGGCAGTGGAGAAAATCATTCACGAATACTACTCAGATCTCTTCGATAGCCACGTCTACCTTCCGTCATATAAAATAAAGGAGGATGGATATGTTGTACCACCCGTTCTCCCTCTCGAAATCCGGCGTGCCATCTCGTCAGTGAAAAATCGAACAGCACCGGTCCGGACAGGATAAGACCAGAACACCTGAAGAACCTTCCGCCAGTCCATCCTCGGAAACACACTGGCTCGGCTCTTCACACTTTACCTGTCAGAGTGCAAGGTCACTACTCAACGGGAGACCAGCAAGACCGTGTTATTGTTCAAGAAGGGTGACCTACACGATATCGGCAACTATCGCCCAATCTGCTTACTGTCTGTCGTCTACAAGCTTTTCACTCGAGTCATCCTGAACAGGATTGACAGAACACTGGATGAAAGACAGCCATGTGAGCAAACAGGGTTTCGGAAAGGATTTAGTACGATGGACAACATCCACACTATAACAAGGCTCATTGAAGGAAGTATCGCGAGAGTACAAAAGACCACTGTGTCTCACTTCTATCGATTTACAGAAGACCTTTGATTCAATTGTGATAGAAGCAGTCATGAAAGCCCTTGATAGTCATGCGGAGTCCATACTCAGTACATAAAGGTTCTTCGTGAGCTGCTCAAAAATTTCACAATCAAGATATCACCATTCTACAACGATATTAATATTGACGTAAAAAGAGGAGTTAGGCAAGGTGATACCATCTTGCCAAAATTGTTTACCACCGCCCTCCAGAACGTCATGCAAACATTGGAATGGGATAATATGGGTGTGAAAATCGATGGTCAGCAGCTACATCATCTTCGCTTTGCTGATGACATCATCCATATAACACCAAACATTCGCCAAGCGACAGCTGCTTGACAGCTTATGACAGCTTGTACAGCTATGACATGTATGCTTGACAGCTTTGATAAAACATATGGAAAGATTGGTCTTCGACTAAATCTCATAAAAACGATGTTCATGGAGAGCGGATTGGCTTTGCATGCCTTATTCACGCTCAACGGAACGAATATTTCCGAATGCTCCAGTTATATCTATCTAGGTCCGGAAATCAATATCATGAACGGCCTAGCTCCAGAGCTGAGCAGAAGGAAACGAGCGGCTTGGGGTGCTTTCAAGAGCATCGAGGATGTAGTGAAGAGAACAAAGAACACCCGACTCCACGTCCACCTTTTCGATTCAATGGTACTTCCTGCCCTAACGTGTGCGTCAGAAGCGTGGTCGCTGCGTAAGCAGGATGAAAGATCACTCAGCTTTATTGAACGTGCTATCGAAAGGACGATGCTAGGAGTATCTCGTTACAGACAAGTAAGGGATGAGATCCGAAGCTCCAATCTGCTTCAACTATCAAAAATTGGAGGGCCGGACACGTAATGCATATGAATGACAACCGATGGACAAGAGCCGTTAGTGACTGGATTCCTCGAGATGTCAAACGTACCTTAGAAAGACCACCGACTCGATGGTCAGAGTTCTTCACGAAAAGCGTAGAAGAAAGATATGATGCTCAACGAGTTTCTAGAGCCAGCAGAACCCACTGGCCTACTCTTGCACGCGACAGGGAAAAATGGAAGATTTACTGGCGCCCGCACGAATCACTCGACGATCAACGGTACTACGGGTGATACGGGTGATACAAAAATTCCATTGTTTAACTGCTTCCATCGGACGGTTTACCGTCTCATTATGTCTGGAAAGTGTTCTCGGCTATCGGGCAGCGACGTACAGAGGGGTGTTCATCCCTCCAGCAGAGCTTCTTAAGTTGACAAGGATTACGATGTTTTCATCCGGAAGTCCATTTAATACTAAACCAATGCTATAAACCAATCAAGAATCACCATAAACCTGGTGTCGAACTAGTCTCATGGTGGCAAATCTCTCTCTGGTCCACAAAGAGGACAACTACCTGGGTTGGTGACCACCTGAGGAAGGTTTCGGCTAGGCTGACCTCGTGACCCCAGGAAACCACGATAATAAACCAGTAAAACTTTGAGGAATGGAAATTATGCTGGGGCTCGCACAACCAGTGAAGACAGGCCATGCAAGTATCGAAGTACTTCTGTGTCTAATGTTTTGAAACTATCGCGATCCCATTCCCAGCGTTCACGGCGAGGATCGGATCAGACTGCACCTATTTTTGGCACCGGCGGCTGGTAGGTATAGGTGGTGTGAACACAATTATGAGCCGAAGAACAGGGTCGACGAGCTCTCTGTCATGTGATTGTCGTCTCGTTTTCGGTAACACCAGACTGTGAGAATATGGCCGCGGCGTTACTTCATCATCACCGCGCTTGTTCTTCGTGCATCACGATGTTCGAGCAATAGCGTTTTAGTTAGAGATGCCTTACAATACACAACTGGTCGGTGGTTCAATTTGACAACCTGGGTAACCATGACCGCCATCTTACGTGCGCTTCAAAATTAGTACCAAGCTTATTTGGAAGACCAAAAATATTGGCCACACCCACTGCTGTGCACTCCTGAGTATAGGCCAAACATACATTTAATCATCTTTAAGACGCTTGATGAAATCGAATGCAAGGGGTGCATCTCCCGCGGATTGGTCTGAGACAACTGCGTTGCCTTTTGTCATCGTTACGAGGAAGACAGTGCTAAAAATAGTTCCATCGAAATACGACTACTTCAGGAAGCTTATAATTCATGGAACAAATCCACATTGACGCATTTTACTCAAGCGAGGTGTCTTAAATTACTGAGTTTTTAAGTTTTTACTGATGTCGTTGGGATTCCCATCCAAGGTCAAAGCCTACTGGATCATATTCTGTACATTTCGACCTTCGTCACCTGAAAATTGAGAGACAGTGATATTCGGTTATATTAAGACGACAAGAAAAGAATTCTAGGCGTAATTTTTTGTGTTTGAAGTGTATTACTGCGATGTTGTACGATAAAAGTGCCGAACAAGATTTATGTGGGAACAGACCTGGTCACTGCTGGCTCTTATTACGAAGGAGGCATGGTTTCCGCGAAGGACATGTACTACCCGAAGGGCAAAGAGTACGACTTCATTGCCAACATTCGAACTGAACAGTAAGTAATAACTGGAAGTCGTTTCTTTCTCAACGTTACTTTGCTGGCAAACAACAAAAATAAATCACTTTAACATGTATATAATTTTCCATACATACTACAGTCTATCTAATAAAGATGGACGGAAGGGAATGAGATTAATGAAAAGGATAAGACACGAATGAAAAATTTGTGGTCGGGCCGAATGAAAGCATATAAGTTTGGTATTTTTATTTTTATGTTTGGCCTATATTTTTGTTCTTCCAAATATGTTTGGTACTAATTTTTATACATTTATAGCAGAGAGAGGTGAAACGAAGGACCCATATGGTGTGGTGGTGAACGCGTTATTCCACGGAAAGGGTAAATAGCGTGTTCGTCCCCTCCATAAACACCTGCAGTCCGGAGTTTTGCAAATAGGCTATTACTCTTTCCGGGGGCTAACGCGTTCACCATCACACCATGTTCACCGCTCACCATCCTTCGTTTCGCTTTTCTTTCAGGCGTGTTTAATAGTTGGCTTGTCTTTCTTAAAAAATTGATCTGGAAGCTTTCCTCATTCCTCTCCTTCAAAATTGGATTATTCAGAGGAGGTGTGAGAGTGTGGGTATATCGTGTAGCCTGTGGAGAGAACGACCGACGAGTGGACTTTGAACCAATGGTGATCAGTCAAGCAACGCTTCCACCTCAACAGCCGGTACCTTTGAGACCACAGTAAGTGCGAAAGATGTCACTCGCTTCTTTTCTATCTGATCTCCAGCAACACTTGATCTCTCATAGCTTTTTCTGGCAAACAAAAAAGAACGAGTGGATCTATGAAATCAACCCGTGGCAACCCATTACAATCATAAGAGATCGACTGTTCTGTTACATGCATTAGAATTCCTTACTAGAACAGTTTAAAAAGATCTTTTATACCTAATAGTCCGTAACACCGAATTTCAACCAACCTCCACTTTGATCTTATGAGTTCTCCTTGGTGAGCTGATAGGAGGTTGTTAAAATGTGTTTTTGCTTTTCAATGACCGACGGTTGGTTGGCTTCGCATTGTCAGGAGCCTGGACGTGCGTAACGCAGCGCTATCTGAAGAACACCTATAATCCCAACAAAAGTCAACGCACACAATAAATCTGAAATATCATCTGTGTTTAGTTTATCACCCTATGTGAAGAGCATACAGCTCTTTAAGTGAACATATCATTCTATAGAAAAAGAAGACAACAGGTACTTTTTAACAGATTAGGATTTGTCTTGTGTAGTAAATTTCCCTTACAACTGTAGAATATTCACTGAATAAAACTGGAAAGCAGTATGCCCCAGGTTATAAACAAGGCGAAGTTCGCAAAGCGTTCACGACCGAAAATCGACAACACGAGTTAAATACCATGTGTCGTCTCTTCAAAGAAAGGTTATAAGGTCAAAACGTGTTTACGCCTAAATCCGCATCTGGAAATTTTATTTCAGAACGCCAGAAATGGATATTAGAAAAACTGATGAGGAAAGTGAGGACGATGGAGAGGAAGAGGAAAGGGAAGGAGACGACGAGGAGGAAGAAGAAGAAAAAGAAGTTTGTTTCTCTAGCTTAAGATATTTTAAAACGCTGACTGACAATTGTACATTAGAATGAAATTCAGAGAACAACACCGCGACAGCAGGAATTCAATCCGCTACGTTATCGTCCTTCCAATGTCCAACGTTCCGTCACTAGAAGTCGGCACAGCTAATTGGCTTTATTCACGACGAATCGAGATTAAAGAAAAATTTCCGTTAATAACAGCCTCCCTAGTGTCCTAGACATTTAAGAGCATTTCATAATCCTGATGAGTTGCACAAATCATTCCATGAACCCGAGTTTCTGTGCTCTTAGGATAATAAATATTGGTTCATTCAGCTACGCTCTGTCTCCTTACTGACCTTTCCTAGGTAAGTTGGTGAGAACAAATGGTAATTTCTCTAGAATTTCAATCAGCTTTCAATCGGGAACTCGGGAACTGAAGAGGTGCGACGAGTCTCATGAAATAATGGCTATTGGTTAACGTCGAAATCTATTCGACTTCGTGTTTAGTAGAGCAGTGCACTTGATGGAGGACTATTGAAGGTAGTGAGCACCCTTTAGGAGGCTTTCTCAAAGTCTAACTGTAGAGTTAATCCTAGCGCTTCCAGTATTACACACCAGGCTACATCTATAATTGAAACCAAACTTGTGAATTTCCTTCATTACTCCTTAGCTGTAAAGATCTCGATTAGGAAAGTCTTTCGGAAAGGAACACCCTCACCTTACCCCTGCTTGCGATCACCTGTTATAGAGTGGGTGTTGAAATATTTGTCTTCGTTGCGTAATTCTGCTAGCTTATTAACGTGGTGCTGATAACCATAACGTCCCTTCAGCACGGCCATTCTGTAACTAAGACTATTAAGGTCAGTTCTTCTTAATAATGTATTATTGGCACTATAGTCATCGCCAGATTTTTGCTCAAGCGTGCATCATTTAACCTACGATGATACCGTTATTCTTCTAGAGCTTCGTGGTCGAAATGATTTTTGGTTTCGACTGATTGTTTCAATGTTTGATTTTTTATGGCCATCTCGGAAATCGGCCGTTCAAATTCCTTCAGTGAATGGAATAAGGAGGTCACTGACGTGACTCTTCATTCTACAAACGTCTTTGGTGCCCTAAAAATGGCAAAATATAGCCATTTTTGACGATAAGCCATTTTTTCATTAAAATACAGTTGTTTCTTCTAAGCCTCGAAGTAGCTTTTGTCCTACATTGCAATGACATTCGGATGCGAAGACAAGACCGTGACGATTTTGAAAGCGGTTGTACAAAAAAAAAACACTGTGCGCTATTACTCAACAAAGGTTAATACTTAGTGAAAAAGAGGCAGCATACGAAGACTGGAGATGGAGCCTACGAAGTTCACATCAGCTAACTGTTTGTGTTATAGGCCAAGTTTATCCATGATTAGAAGACGGAAATATTCCAGGACAGCTTGTGTAAAAAAGCGTAACTTTATTACGTCTACAAAAATAGAGTCGCTATGTTTGCTGTAATGGCTCTTTTTCACTCGACACTCTTCACCAGTAGCGTCAGAAACCTTTCAATGATCACCAAGGGCGTCCTTAATGAACTTTTTTTCGTCTCTTGGTGTCCATCTACTTGATTGTGACTGACCTCCGCGAATTTTGCCTAATTCACTATATACAAGGATCTTGTTGACCTATAGCTTACTTGGTAAGGCACTTCTCAATAACTCTAATCCTGGTTTTCCTAAAACTCTTCTCTAAACATCCACAGCATTTATGATCATTTAAGTCTGGCATCAGAGTGATTGTGAATTATCCACCCTTGTCGTCCGCTTTGTGGTCACATTAAATGAAAATCGGTCTAAACTTTCCGTACTTAGTGTTTTTTATTTAAGATTATCCTTTAAAAAATAACTCATTCTCAATAGATAGCAATTCGACATCAACCACGCTGTATAAAAGTGTGTTGTAGGGTGTAGCCTGCCTCATTCGAGCGGTGCTGTGCTAAAGAAGATCCGTCTCGATACGACGACGAAGGCACCACATCAAAAAGACGAACGATTGTAGACTATCGACTCGAATCACAGGCTCCGATGAAGACGAATACCTCGAGACGACAGTCGAATAAATCTTTCGTAAAAACCTCGTGTTGGTTTATCAATGAAATAGCGTACAGTTCCCAAGATCGACTTTCTCTTAACCTCGGCATTGGAATATGAATGTGCCGTTTTCTTGCTCAGCAATCGCGAGGTTTTTAAACAGCATACATTTACTTCCATAAAGAAAACACAATACAATACAACGCTAGCTGACGTTTCGGCAGTATCGCCTTCTTCAGAGCCTGGAAGGGTATACTGATATACAATCTACTAGGCCAAACGCTTCAATAACAGATTGTATATCAGTATACCCTTCCAGGCTCTGAAGAAGGCGATACTGCCGAAACGTCAGCTAGCGTTGTATTGTATTGTGTTTTCTTTATGGAAGTAAATGTATGCTGTTTAAAAACCTCGCGATTGCTGAGCAAGAAAACGGCACATTCATATTCCAATGCCGAGGTTAAGAGAAAGTCGATCTTGGGAACTGTACNGTCTTCATCGGAGCCTGTGATTCGAGTCGATAGTCTACAATCGTTCGTCTTTTTGATGTGGTGCCTTCGTCGTCGTATCGAGACGGATCTTCTTTAGCACAGCACCGCTCGAATGAGGCAGGCTACACCCTACAACACACTTTTATACAGCGTGGTTGATGTCGAATTGCTATCTATTGAGAATGAGTTATTTTTTAAAGGATAATCTTAAATAAAAAACACTAAGTACGGAAAGTTTAGACCGATTTTCATTTAATGTGACCACAAAGCGGACGACAAGGGTGGATAATTCACAATCACTCTGATGCCAGACTTAAATGATCATAAATGCTGTGGATGTTTAGAGAAGAGTTTTAGGAAAACCAGGATTAGAGTTATTGAGAAGTGCCTTACCAAGTAAGCTATAGGTCAACAAGATCCTTGTATATAGTGAATTAGGCAAAATTCGCGGAGGTCAGTCACAATCAAGTAGATGGACACCAAGAGACGAAAAAAAGTTCATTAAGGACGCCCTTGGTGATCATTGAAAGGTTTCTGACGCTACTGGTGAAGAGTGTCGAGTGAAAAAGAGCCATTACAGCAAACATAGCGACTCTATTTTTGTAGACGTAATAAAGTTACGCTTTTTTACACAAGCTGTCCTGGAATATTTCCGTCTTCTAATCATGGATAAACTTGGCCTATAACACAAACAGTTAGCTGATGTGAACTTCGTAGGCTCCATCTCCAGTCTTCGTATGCTGCCTCTTTTTCACTAAGTATTAACCTTTGTTGAGTAAACGCGAGGTGTTATTTTATTCTTTATTCACGAACAAGCTGTTTCGGCGGATTTCGCCTTCCTCAGAGCCGGGAAGGTCAAGTTGACAGCAATCTACTCGGCCGGACGCCTCCATAACCAAACAAAGAAA